ACATGTAAGGAGGGTCAGCAACTTTCAGTGGCCTTTTGCCCAACATTCTTGATACGGACACTAATGAGTCCCTAAGGGAACAAGAGGTGCAGACATAATTCATCTTGGCAAGACAGATTTTCCTATATGCTTGACTATTGCAAATCCATAATGCATAAACATGATGTTTATTTTGAGTGACACTGTTAAATGATTGGCTTGGTGAAACAAAGACTGATCCTCCCCTGCTCACAGTTCAGACAAGTGGTATTTTGCACTGCTGTGCACTGGCTAAACTTTGTCTTTAAAGGATAAAAAAATCGCTAGGCTAAATATAACTATTTTCCATTCACACCTGGAACAAGATGTATAGCCATAAGGTTGTGGTTTGACTCCATTTTGCTTTTTAACTTAATGACCAAGCTGTAGTTTTTTTTAAAGTATTATTTTGACAAATAACCAGTGGGTGAGCAAATGGCAACTGATCCACAAGATTATCTGGAGGATTATTGATTTTCTTTCAGTAGTAAAAATATCTTACAGTTACATCTTTGTTGACTGTCAGGACAACATCAGTGTAGGCCACCACCACACAGTTAAGGTCATTTGTAGCTCTATCATATGTCAGTGTAGGATGAGGCATAAGCCTCGAATATACTCGGGAGTGGACGCGGACTACTTCTGTTTATACTACTTTTTGCAGTCAGCTTGGCGGACACGTTCCACACTTGCGCAGTAGCTTGGTTGGTGCCCTGGTAGCGCCGTGCGGTCACAAAAAAGCGGGAGACATGTGGACGTCCGCACAGACCCTACGCATACCCCCTTTGATGACGATTTTTTTGTCACGCGGACCCTAGAGTACTCGCAAACGCGGAAATATAATCCTTGCCTTAGTGGGGTTTCAAGGTCATTGTTAAAAAGTGGCTCATCTTTTCCATAATTGGTCCAGCTACGCATGAGCCAGCAGTCATGGCTCAAACCTTTTCCTAACCTCTGCCACCTCCTTCTCAGTCCTTTAGCAGCTCGGCTGTGTCACCAAAGGCTGACAGGGTCCTCACCAGTAAAGGCGCAATCCCCATTTGACTTCGGTCACTATACCGTCTGCTCCATCCTCGCAAGCCGGGGCGCTGCTTTTTCACTCAAATGTACCTGGCACAACAGCAAGCCACTGGTAGAGAGGCAAGACAGTGGGAAAATAAAGAACAGAACAGATACAAAATGTCCAAGTCACAAGGGATGAGCTACTGTAGCCATATAGCCAATTTTTCTTACTAAATCCCTTTATAAAATGCCTTTAAATGGCAGGCATTACATCTGACCAAACACAGCATCCATCTGCTGTATCTACTATAAGGCTTAACCTCATCAGTGTGGTCAGATTAACATTCATCTACTAGATACAGAAAAATAAACAAGGAAAAGCAGCACATGAGGGACACCAATCCACATGTCCTCAGGAAACACGTCAGAGGCCATAACATCTCATTTGTGCATATCACATAAAGAGTGGAAATAGTAGTGCTGTGAAGGGCTGTTGGCATCTTCCTGCATTTTCCTGGAATGCATGCTGACATACGCTAGCGCCTAAGCAAGCTGTTAAACATGCGTCCTTAATGCTGTTACATTGATTGCACATGAGAAGTCGTATAATGTGCAGTGCAGACATCAATGATGAATGACACCAACACACCCCAACACGCAGACCCTGGAGCAGTGAAAGTCGCACGATTCATTCGCAACCATGTTTCAACCTTAATTCGGAAAATAATGAGGAAGGTTTACTGTTAAGTTTTAATCTCCCAAACTAACAGGAAATGTTGTCAGCACTGATGAGGCAGATAGCTCTGGAGCTCTTAAGTGATCAGCAATGTAACAAATCTAACCAATATCCCAAATCAAACGACAGACATATTTTGGTCTGTATGGTACCCATTATGAATATTTAGTGGTGCAACAGACCGCAGTTAAGAGAGGAAGCTACATCAGAGCCGAAGAGGCGCATTATAAATAAATTTAACCCTATCTTTCCAATCCAATCTGTGAATCAAAACTGAACTGTGACTTTTGTGATCCGTTGCACCACTATGAACATTGAACCACCCACATCCATCACAAACAGTCCCCTAGTGGACATGGGGATCCTTTCATAAAATAACATCAACCTAATGATGGCATCTGTGCTTTCCCTGACAGTGATGAGTGGGCTTAAATCCTTCCATAAATCCAGACTGCAATCAAAACAAAGGCTCACAGAAAGACGGAGAGAAAGTCTGGCTCTCACAACAGGAGCAGGCAGCATGTGATCCCCTGTCTGTTGGTTGGTTGGATTTGAAGCAACAGGATTTGGTTGGGAGGCCCATTGTGACTCCTGGCAGGCCAGCCAGCCGGTCAGCCGGCACAGACCAGACCAGGTTTCCTGATCCCCGTCACATGCATGGGGTGTCGGATGTGCTGGAAAGGGGGCGCCACATGGTTTGGCATGCTTCTATGGTACAATAAGGAGAAATGCATCACCCCTAACACATGTGGTCTGAACCTAAGTCTTTAAGTAGATTTCTTCCCCTTCTACTGTTCTCCAAATCATGATAGTCAGCAATCTGGTAGCAAAGCACCGTGGGAACAGAGACAAACAAGGGGAAAGACCAGGAGACGGTGTCCTGCACACTGGGGGAGTGGTGTAACAATTTCCCAAGCATAAAGAAAGCCTCAAAACAGTTCTGTGTTACGGCAATTTCTGTTTTTACAAAAACAACATAACCGCTTTTGCTCTAGTGAGGCGTCTCTGAGCCCACGAGGCCAGAAGACATCCTAACCAGCTCTGCAATGATAACAAGTGGATATGACCTGTGGGCATGTCACAGGAAGACATTCCTCTGCCAATCGTGACAGGTGCCTTATTGTTAAGCTGAGAACACATTGTGCTCAGAACTTTGTTTTGAAAGACATATCTATCTGGCTCAATTACCCATTGTCTGGTTAGCCATGCATGAGGCGCTGTTGAAAATACATGAGAACATATTTCTTCTACAGGGCCCTCTCTGCACCCTATTGATGGCAGAATGCAACAGATCTCTATTCAAACTAAGATTGAAAGACTTTCCCTGGCTCTGTCATTATCAGGCTGTTGAATAGTCTCCCTCTAGGAGTGCGCTGCTGGCAGTGGGTGAGATGGGGTACCTAGGCAGCCTCATTTTCATCTACATTAAGGAAGATCTTGTCTGGAATCTATCTTTCATGTATCTTGAATTTCCAACAGAAAATTCAAAGAAGTAGGAATCACATTACACCCTCTAAATTAAAGACCATATAGGTTGAGTATTCTGTGCAACTACATAATGAGGAAAGGCATGAATCCAGACTGGATTGGAAAACGGGTTAACTAATGGAAATATTTGCATGACGACATGCAGAATGAGCAGATTAATGGGGTTGTTTTTCACTTTTGTGCACAATAATAGCAAATTATTCACACATCACTACAGATGTCTTTGTGCCCATTCAGGAGAGTGCTCAGTTGACAAACTGCCTCCCTGAAATGCAGACCTATGACAGCTGGATTTAAGCTAAACATTTTGCTGTAAAAAGGAAAGTATGTTAAATGTTATGCCAGGCCATGAGCATACCGGAGCCATCTTAAAACACTCCTGTGCCTACTTAGTTCAGCATAGCCCCACTGACAAATAATCTTTCCCAGACATAAAACTCTATGAAAAATAATTGTGTCTTATTGATTTTAACACTCCGGGAACAGAAAAGTCTTTATGCTTGATCTGTTCAGATGGGAGCTGTGAAGCCAGGAGACCATAAATCCAGAGCACTGAAAATTAAACAATGGAAACTTATGTTTACACTGAAGAACACCTAGTTGTTGTGTCTGCAGCGAGCCACCAGCAGAGGAATGGGCCTATTTGTTTCCCCTTATTGGGAAGCTAGTTATTGTGGAGGCTAAACTTCCTGCAGGAAGACAGCAAAGGATATGGTGCTGGAACACAAACAACATTTCACTTGTTTACTCTCCCAGTGGAGTATACAGTACACTGTATGTTGAATAGGCCTCAAGAGCAGCAAGTAATAAATCAAGATTGAACATGCTGTGTGCAAGGAGACTGCCAGATATTATTTACAGGGAATCCAAACAAATCTGATGTTAGGGGAAATTGGTCTTTGTCTGGACATACTGACAAGCACCCACTGCTGCAAAAAGTCAAGATAAGCACACAATGCAACAGTAAAGCACAGCAGAGTGTGTGATTTTCTTTGACCATTACTTACATACATTTAAAAAAGAATTCAATATTGCATGTAAGATTATAGCTTAGGGCTTCACCTACAGTGGGCATGAAAACGCTTTATTACCCATGACCAGTTGGACAATGATGCCTTTATCGCCCCCCACCGTTTTCATGGATCACTCCACTTAAGAAATTCATTCAAAAATATTTTTGTGCAAATCCAGTCCGATTAACCCCCAGCCCAGCACGCGTGCGCGCGCGCGCACACACACACACACACACACACACACCAACACGAGCAATACGACCACCATCCCCAAAACTATGACGTCACCTTGTAATATTTTTATAGTATTATAAAAAAATAATAATAATAATTAAGAAACTGGAGTGGCCTTCAGGAATGTGACTGTATTTCGCATTGAATTAGGTTATATATGTGAGTAACTTAGTAAATAAACAAACAAACACGAATCAAACAAAAGTCAACAGCACTATAGCTCGTACCAAACAATTAATGAATACACACATAATATATATACATGGCTACTGCTGAAACAGCATATCCTCTCCAGTTCTGTTATGTTTTGTCGCTCAAATTACATCTGCCTCGGTGTCTGAAAGTAACTTTATCCTTTGTGTTCACTATGGCCGTCAATGTGCCAGTTGAGTTTCTACGCCTTTCGCTACTCTCCCTGTGAGCAGCGCTCCTCACTTTCAGCTACAGCCCTGACGTACTTTTTACTTTGTTGGTGTGTTCGGAGGTTGAAAACTACATTCGGGTCTTACCTTTAAATGTGAGCGGTGCCCCGTCCGTTGCGAGACTGTTAGCGTTGTCAGTTATCCGTAAGGGGTAAAACCAGCTGAAGCCGCGGTAGTCGGTCTCACATCTCTCTCTATCAGCCTGCAGACTGAAGTGGTACAGACCATAGCAATATTCATCCAGCACCTATCTCCGTGATGACAACACGCAGGAAGGAAGACTCCGCCCACCCGACGCTTGTAGAAAGCCTCTGCCCCTCATACAGTCTATGCTCCTCACTCCTGTCTACTCTGAGGCTTCAGATAGGCCTATATGTTTTTTGGTTGATATTGTAGGGAGAATAATAGACTAATGTCCGTCACAGGCGAAAGGCGAATAATCACCCAGCTATGTAATCTAGGTCCAGTCGTCTTGTTGCTGTTCACCACAAGACTATTTTAGTCTATGAGCCCAAAAAGCCCTACAGTGGCACCATCTGGTGAACTGCTGAAAAGTTGCTCTCCCAAACTGTACCTGAATAAATTACCATGTTCAAACCCCTTCCATTAGTGCTTATAATGTTTCATGTTTCAAGTTACATGTAATTTGTCATTCTGTTCTATTGTGTTTTCTATTTTCTGTCTGCTTTAAATTTGAAAGCAGACGCCCATACTTACAAATACGAACAATGCCACCTCTTTTTTTTTTAAAGTATAACGAAAAATAAGCAATTTATTAAATATTTAATTCAATTGAAATCAATGCTATGCGTAAAGGAACCCCTGAAACGACATTTCCCAGGTACTCCGTAGCACTGCATGACGCCATATACTCGCGACAGGAGTGCGTTTCCATGGAGCCGATGGAAGCTGTATGCTCGACTTTGTGGATTAGCTAACAGCTCGTTAGTTAGCTCAGCTAGTTGGGGTTTGTTTGGTCACACAGCTTTCAGGATGTCAGGGCAAGAAAACAGCGATAATCTCGAGACTCTGTTTTCATTTGAGCTTTTGGTGGAATATATCCGAATCGAGAAAGAAGGTAAAGTTTCCGACGAGCTGGCTCTCGGGTTACGACTGCTGGATTTCCCAACGCTGCTCATTTATCAGCCTCCGCAGAGCAGCGACGGCATTAACCAACAAGAACACCACGGAAAGGGTCAGCAGGGAGAGTATACTTTTAACAGAGGGAAGTCGTGTCTCTTCAAAATGAACCTGAACTCACTGCATAGCCATCTATCTAACACCCCTCTCTATGCTATGGTTTTGGATGTGAATGAGGAGATTCCGAAATTAGTCGGGACCTCACTCATCTCGCTGGCTAAAGTGATGAAGAGAATAAGGCAGGATGTGACTAAACATGGCGTTTCTACTCCCTCTTCTCATTGTGAGAGGGGGCTTGTGGGTATATGCAACCTCCTGGGGGAGAAAGTTGGATCAATTTCCCTGACTTACAAACTGCTAAGCCTGGGAGCTAGTTTACTGCCACATATCACAGAAAGAAGGAGCTTTAAAAGCACCAGTGTACATGGAGGACAACATGTACAAGAGAGCATCATGGAGAACAACACATCTACAGAAGTTTTGCCTCTGTGCAATGTCTGTTCAACCACACCTGGCAAGTCTGACCTAAACATCCACAGCAACAGACCATCAGATGAGAATAGCCTGATAAGTGAGGATAAACAGGACAGCGACGTTTGCGTTGCCATGCAGGCACAAAGCCAAATAAAAGACACTGAAAGAAGAAGTTCTGAAGAAGACTTAGCTATATTTTGTCCGCCACATCTCTTCTACAGTAATTCTGAGAAGAAAAGCCAAAATGAAGAAGGGGATTGCAAATTACTGAATCTAGACATAGAGGCTTTTACATTTGAAGACACATGCTCAGAAGAAAATAAAACTGAAGGCATAAGTTCTCCAATGATAGACCAGAGAGCAAGACATGATGTTAAAACATCAAGAAACCAACAGACAAGTGGGGAGACTCCAAATGTCCTCGGGGAAGCCTTGCGACAGTTGCCTCTGCTAAATGCTCTTCTTGTTGAGCTGTCACAGTTGAATGACCAGAACCCACACCAGCCCTTGTCTATTCATCCCAGTCTTGCTTGGATTTACAGGCCTGCTTCCACAGAGCCTTCTGCTGGGCATGGAAACACTGCACCAAAGGTGCAAACCAAATCGTTACAGAAAACCAGACCGGGAACTAGTCCCCATTTAATTTATTTACATTCCCCCAGAAACTGCTCTACACCTTTAGTGAGGCCTGCATCTGTAAAAGTGAAAGACAAACAACAAGAGGCTTTGATTGAGAGTAAAAGCTCCAGTAAATCTCCCAGAAAGAAGCTCGTATATGGTACAACTAAAACATTTAATCTGAGGCTGAAACAAGTTTCTCCTCTTAAAGTAAACCGTCGCGAATGCATGGAAATAATACAGAATGAAACGCAGTCAAGTAAAGGAAAGACAAAGTCATGTATTAAGATTGCGAAGCTCAGGAGAAGGAAATCAGTATTAAATCAGAGCTCCAGTCTGAATGAAAATATTGAGACAATGATACAAAGCACCACTGTGCACTCTGCACGACAAGAAACAGTCACACTAAAACAGAAAAACCTGCAAGGGAAATTTCATGGTGAACAAGACATAAACTCTCTGAGAATTTCAGAAAATCCTGCCCTTCCTGAGAGAGGCTTGAAATGCATTCACATCCCCAGCGTGGATAGTGACGCCGTTGCTCGAAACAAAGACAAGAATGAGCATCACAGTGAATCAAATCAATCTGAATATGTCAGTCACAGAGAGAAAATTGAATCTTCAGGAAGCAGCGGACGTAGCAGCCCAAATTCTTCACTTTCAGGCTCCAGCTGTGGAGGAAACGAGGAGGCAGACTATGCTGATGACTTTAACAGCCTTGAGCCCAGCGATGCCTACTCCCCTGACCCCGGGAGTAGCCCCGAGCCCTCCTCCAGAGCCAAGACGCCCAGCAAGACTCCTGTCCGCCCAGACCTCTACAACTCTGACTCTGAGGGTTTCCAGAGGAGAGCGGTCCTCCCTGTGCCTGTCAAAGCCCCCAGCTCTCCACAGCGTGCTCTGAGGGGTACACACGTCATCCGACCTCGAACCCACGCCTCGGCCCTCAGCTTTTCCTCCGATGATGGTGACGGAAATGGGTACTTACAAAGCGCACCCTCCAGAAAACTGACGGCAGAGAGCAACAGAGTGGAAAGGAGCTCCGGCGCTGAGAGTTTCATATCATCAAGAGGTCAAAGGAGCGCATCAACCAAGAACAGCGGCCCAGGTCGAGGGGTTTCTGAAGAATCGATATCCTCCTTTGAACCTCTGGAGGCAGAGGAGCTGGAGGATGAGCTGGGCTCTCTGGATTTCAGAAAGGAGTATCAGCATATCTCTAAACTGGTAGCCAACAAGCTCCCTGGTTACACTCTGTAAAGAAATACATCAAGGCTACACTCTTTCCCTCAACCAAGTAGTAGTAATGTACTGTACACATCTAACAAGTGTGTAAATTTGCAAACATGTAATTAAGTTTTCCTTTAAGTTAGGATGTCTCACAACCTTTTTGAATACAAGACATGCTGTTAGTGGAAATTGTAAGTCTTAATCACTCAGTTAATACTAAGCTACTGGATATTTGCATAAAGTGGCGGACCATGAGTGCTTTACATATAAGAGGATGGGAATTCTCTCTATGTGAATATGCAAATTGTTTTTAAGCTCTTGTTTCCAGTAGAGTTGTCACAAGCTGAAAATCTCCCAGAGCTCCTAGGGAAGCTCTTGATTTCAGGGTATCTTCTTTAAATATCAGCTCCTTCTTTGCACTTCTCCCTTGATATTATTTGATAAGCAAAACAGAGACAGCTATTTCGTGCACTGTGCTGTGTTTTGCGTGACTCAGTTGTGTTAAGGATTTCTATTGCAGGTTTCAGTGGGACAATGAAACCTTACTAATTTGCAGTGGTGGGAATGTATTATTGATTTTATTTACTGAAGTACTTCAATTAACTAGAATTTTAAGGTACTTGTACATTGAGTATATCCGTTTTATGCTACTTTGTAATAATATTCCGCAACATTTCACAGAGAACTTTTTTTTTTTTTACTATGCTACAACCCCAATTCCAATGAAGTTGGGACATTGTGTAAGGCGTAAATACAAACAGAATACATTCATTTGTAAATCCTTTTCAACCTATATTCAATTTAATACACTACAAAGACAAGATATTTATTGTTCAAACTGATAAACTTCATTGTTTTTTTTTCAAATATTCACTCTGAATTTGATGCATGCAACATGTTCCAAAAAAGCTGGGACAGGGGCAGCAAAAGACTGGGAAAGCTGAGTCAGTTAACACAGTTTGTCGCTACATCAACAAGTGTAAGTTAAAACTCTACCATGCAAAGCTAAAGCCATATATCAACAACACCCAGAAACGCCGCCGGCTTCTCTGGGCCCGAGCTCATCTGAGATGGACTGACGCAAAGTGGAAAAGTGGGCTGTGGTCTGACAAGTCCACATTTCAAATTGTTTTTGGAAATTATGGACGTCGTGTCCTCCAGGCCAAAGAGGAAAAGGACCATCCGGATTGTTATCAGTGTAAAGTTCAAAGCCATCTGTGATGGTATGGGGGGGTGTTAGTGACCATGACATGGGTAACTTGCAAATCTGTGAAGGCACCATTAATGCTGAAAGTACAGGTTTTAGAGCAACATATGCTGCCATCCAAGCAACGTCTTTTTCAGGGACGTCCCTGTTTACTTCAGCAAGACAATGCCAAGCCACTTTCTGCACGTGTTACAACAGCGTGGCTTCGTTCTAAAAGAGTGTGGGTACTAGACTGGTCTGCCTGCAGTCCAGACCTGTCTCCCATTCAAAATATGTGGCACATTATGAAGCGCAAAATACGAAAAACGGAGACCCTGGACTGTTGAGCAACTGAAGTTGTACTTCAAGCAAGAATGGGAAAGAATTCCACCTACAAAGCTTCAACAATTTGTGTCCACAGTTCCCAAACGCTTAATGAGTGCTGTTAAAAGGAAAGGTGATGTGACACAGTGATAAACATGCCCCTGTCCCAGCTTTTTTTGGAAAGTGTTGCAGGCATCAAATTCAAAGTGAGTGAATATTTGCAAACAACAATAAAGTTTATCAGTTTGAACATTAAATATCTTGTCTTTGTGGTGTATTAAATTGAACATAGGTTGAAAAGGATTTGCAAATCATTGTATTCTGTTTGTATTTACATTTTATACAACGTCCCAACTTCATTGGAATTGGGGTTGTACATTTATATGAAAGCTCTAACACTTTAGATCAATATTTTAAAATATATTAATTGTTTATCATTATTATTGTTATACAGTAACAATGCAGATATGTACACAAAATACATAACATAGTTAGAATTAGACTAGTTCCTTCTGCTTACACTTGCATTATGCATTAGTAATGTTAGTCCACTGGTTCCCAAACTTTTTCAGCTCAAGACCCGAAAGAGAAATCTCCCTGGGACCCAAATTTACATCTACAAAATACATCTACATTTACAAACTACGAATAAAGGGAAAAGCAAACAATGTAAATAAAATGTATTTATTTTCTTATTAAAGTAAAGAAAAACAACAATGGAAGTTTTCAACCAGCTTTACTCTGTGTAAAAAAGAAAGCTCATTCACATATTTACATATTGTAACATTTTTAAGAATTTTACTCACCCAATTGGCGACCCAATCCAATCAGGGTCCGGACCTTTTTATATACAGTCTATGGTCCGGACCGGTCCGGACCCTTAGTTTGGGAAACAGTCCAATAAAATAATGTAAAACACTGACACTCTGCATAATGACAACTTTTGAAACATTTTTTTATTTGTATTTGTACACAGTGCTTTTCCTCGTTTTACTTGAGTAAAGCATGTAAATGGAGACATTTGCTGTAACGTGCTGTCTTTTATAAAATAAAGTTCAGATGTATTTTGCATACCGCGCATGCGTCAACTCGGTGTGTACGGAAGAGCCGGAGCAGCATGTTGAACTGTATGAAGTGAGATGTTTAAACACGTTTTTCTGACAGGACCTCCAGGTAAAACCCAACACCCAGCGAGTTCTGTGCGGCTGAAGTTGTAGTCGCTGTAAATCCAGACGAGTCAGTGAGCTGTCTTATGAGTCAGTAAGCGTTAACGGTGGTTGTGATAAAATTTAGCTTGTTTTAGCTTTGTCCGGATACTGTCGATTTATCCTGGTAATGGTTTATAGTAAAGAGGTATTTATGCGATATGTTTAACTCCCTACAAAGATGAAAGAGACGTTTATTCATTCAATTAATTCAAATTCCAGTTTTACTACTAGTATTTTGACAGATTCTTGGTCAAAATGACTCGATAATTAAGATATAGATTTGAGGTTATGCAAATTTTGTAGACTGAGAGCACTAATTAAGGATGCCAACAGCACTAATGCATGGAATATTCATGTCCTAACATTTTACAGTAAGGCACTGCACTCCAATTTTAAATTGATGTATTGCAGTTGTTTTACAATGTCCCTTGTCTTGCTTACAGGTGTGGGGAAAACCACCCTGGTCCAGAAAGCCTGTGAGACTTTAGTGTCATCAGGAGTGGGAGTTGAAGGGTTTTACACAGAGGAGGTCAGGGAGGGAGGCCGGAGAGTCGGCTTTGATGTAGTCACAGTGACAGGAGAGAGGGGTCACCTGTCCAGAATCAGGTAGCAGACTTGTCATCCTATCCAAATCAAACTACTGGCTGTCTTTTATCGTGCTGTTTTTTAGTAACCCTCACCTTATTCTAACTTACAGAGATGTTCCCGGTTCATCTCATGGCAGACGGGAATACACAGTTGGGCAGTATGTGGTTGACTTGCCTTCATTTGAAAACCTGGCTCTCCCCCTCTTCAGAAACGTAAGACAGCAGCACATGCTTTTTAAACTCACCCTCGTCAATAGATCACAGTAAGCGAAACACTCCCTTTATTCCCCACTTAAGAAATCATCACGCCTTTGATATTCTCAGAATTGATGGAATAATTGGAGGCTTGCAAACACATAAATACCAGAGTGGCATTTTTAGTGTTGGTGGTGCCGTCTGGCTGTCACTGACCATGATTAATCCGGCATGTAAAGTGAGCCTGGAGTGACGCCTACACATGCGCTGTAAAGGAAGGTGTCTGTGCCTTGGCGTCACATAATCCACTTTCATCTCACTTGAAGCGCCTCTGTAATCACTGCAGATCATCCGTTGCCTATAACATGCAAACACTGTCTCAGACACACTGTCAGTCAGTGAGATAGCACATGGCCACCAATGAAACGTGTTTAATCTTTTTATCAGTAAATGTCCAAACTGAACTAGTTTCCTTTTATTTCTTTATTGCAACTAAAAAAAGATGTATGCACGCATTGACTGTTCTCGATACCAACATTTGTCGTCTCCAGGTAGGAGCAGCAGACGGGGGCAGCAAGAAGGTCTTTGTCATTGATGAGATTGGCAAAATGGAGCTCTTCAGCCAGTCGTTCATCCGGTCAGTAAGACAGACTTTAGATAGCTCTTCTTGCGCCGTCCTGGGCACCATCCCCATCCCCAAGGGTAAACCGCTGGGTCTTGTGGAAGAGGTGCGGAGCAGGCATGATGTCAAGGTCTTCACGGTGAGTCCAAATAGTTGCACACACTATGTGTGATAAATATATATTTAGGTCATTTAGGTCAGTTAGCTATAGGGCAGTGTTTACCCTGTATCCACTTGGGCTTAGGAGGATAGCCAGTCTGCTTATTAATGCACAAGGGCCGTGCCCCCCATTATCTGTCTCCTATAGCAGGATTAACTCTAAATCATGCGTGACTGATTCAACAACAAAGGGTGGTCTGAAATGTCAAAATAATTTATCACGGAAGACTCAGTTATGGATATTGTCATGCAAAATAGTCACTATGTCGATGTAGTTATTAAATCAAACAAGGTTATGGGGCAGTATCAATATTTTTGGCGAACATATGATTTTTAGTTTCACTTATAAAAGAGTAGGTCAGGGATTAGGTGTTTACAACATGCTTTGTGGTCTTATCCTACCAGACAAGCCCTTTGTCACAGCTCTCGTGTTGTTCATGTTTGGCAACACATGTTGTATAATGTTACATTATCTGCAGACTGCCTCCTTGCCATCGTTAATTATGTTTGCTTATTTTTCCCCCCACCTAGGTTTCTAAGGAAAACAGAAGTGCTATTCTACAAGACATTTTAGCAGAACTGCAAAATTGTCTTAAACATAAAACCTGACATGGAGATTCGGAGCCACTAAAAGGGGAACACCCTGCCGTTTGTGTGTGTTTTTGCTGACAACAACTTTTATTTGTGTCAATGCATATACAGTACACACAGTCAGACTATTCATGCTTCTTAACAGGGATCTGACCTAACCTGAGGGGCATGCCTAGTTGCTGGGGCGAGTTAGTGTGTCACATGCATGCATTTATGTACACAATTCATTTTTTACAGCCTCAAAATGGATTGCACGCTGAATAATTGATTGTGAGATGGAACACAGTGGGGGAATTGTTCACTTAGTGTGTAAATATCCTGTGAGCTCAGAGCCAAAGACTGCAAGTCCTCCAAACAGCTCTGTTTTATTTTTTATTTAGTTCTCATAAAGTTTCTCATTTATTAGTGTGTAATAATCATTTGTTTATGAGGACAAGTACTGCTATTTGTTTTAAAAGGGGCAAACAGAGCAGCGCCCCTGTTAATTAATTTAGTTCCTTACTATCTGAGCCTCCTTTGTCAACCTTAGGGTGTGTTTATTGAAAATCAATCAATATTTAACAGTGCAAGTATGTCCAATCATTTCATGGTTTATTCATCCATTAGCTTAAATTAAATAAAATAAAAATAATAAGTTACTCTCTTGTCAACAACCAGATTGTCTTTCTCGGGTGTTAATTTCTCACATTTAAAGATGCAAACTGTTCATTTGTTCTGCAGTTATAAATTTGTTTACACTGATGCTAAGCTACAGTCTTGAAACATATTTATGCTTCAATCTCTTTAGTTTCTAGGATTTTATGCTCCGTCCTGTGAGATAATGGAATTTCTATCCATGTGCAGTCAGATTACATTAAAGGATAAATAGTGTGGTATTGGATTTTTGAGAAACCTGAGGGCATTTATGAAGCATTTATTCCAATGATACAGTTTTAAAAAGGTATTTAAAGGGTTTTCCAGGTATAGAGCGAGACATGCTGTTAAACTTAAAGAAAAGTGAAGCTCTCTGTGAGAGTCAAATCTGCCAAATTAATACTTTTTGCCTGATGTACATTCGTGACCATATCATTAATAAATGTAAGTTAATTGGGAATAGCTGAAGTAGGTTTTTAGAGACTAAAGTAGCTCAGGAACATTCAAGGCTCATGAGTTTGTCGATAGTTCAGATCAGACAGACTCGCTGCAAGTGGAATTTCACTGACTGCGTGAGCTCCAAAGTCTGGCACTTGCATCAAGGATTTTAATAGAAATCCTCTGGCAAAGATATTTGTTTTGACACCCAAGCATCTTCAGGTCATTTCAAAGTGAAAATACATGGAAGGCTGCTTTGGCTTATTTTTTAATACTGCTTGTATAACTGATGTAACCTGTCAGGTTGGCTGCAGAGAGAGCTGCCAGCTGTGATCTGCGTCAGACATGCTGCTGCGCCAGCATCTGTTCATTGCCACCGCTGACGTACGATCAACTGGCACTAGCAGTCGCTGATTTGGCTTCAAAGTCAACATCACAATGGTCGTATTTTTTAACTCGCATGGAAATATGACGTTGCATTGTTATTGTAGGCGCAGACTGGGCAATACGCAATTAGAGTTGATAGTATGGTTCATGGTAGGGCAAGCCATGCAGTGCTGCTGAAGGGGCACTGGCTCTTGTGATTGGAAGGTGATCCTCAGCACCCTGCAGCAGGGTAGCAGATGGGTTATGTAACAGTGACAGAGATCTTGCCAGTTTTACCAAGTAAAGGGTGTGTATGTGGATGTATTTGATGTGTTATGATGCAATTAGAAACCATATTGTCATATTATAGGCAAATCATTTACACCAGTGATTCCCACCCAGGACTGCTTCTGTAGTTGCCAGGGGGCAGAATGTGGAGTAGCTCAACAAGTTTGAATAATTTTTTTAAAATCAAACATTTGATTTTATCTGAATGTTCTGTTATTTGCATATAGTGTGGGGAAAAATAAAGGTAATAGAAAAACAGATACAATTAATGGATACATGGTTGAAATATCTAGCTGAAAGAAATGGACACACAGCATTAAAATAGTTAGGTAAAAGCAATGGATAAATTATGTATGTAAGCAGCTGAAAGTAATGTATACATGTTAATGATGATAAACAGTTCAATAGTTTATTTTAAAGTAATGGATACATGGTTAAAATATCTAGCTAAAACTAATGGACACAGAATTGAAATACGCAGGTAAAAGGAATATATACATGTATAAATATGTAGGTAAAATGTTTGGATAAACGGTTCAAGTAGTTTTTTTAAGTAATGTATGAATGGTGGAAATATTGTTGACAAGTGTTTACTAGAGTTCATCCAACAGGGCTGTGTGGGAATACAAAAAATGGTCGGGAACCACCACTTTACTGTATCATGATGTGTATATACAGTATGTTCCATTTCATCATCTACACCATAGCATGCAATATAACTGCAAATAATATACATATACACAGCATACAATACAACTGCAAATACTTCAAAGCCATAAAGAGGATTATTTAAACCCTTTCCACACACAAAAAAACATCTATATTCTAATTACTATATTTTTTGGTAACATAGTCCAGACTTCATGCATGCTATTTTACGTTGAAGGGTTCAGCATGGTTCATACATAAGCATTGTGCAGCTGTAACAATTTGATACACTGTCAGGGGACCTGAATGTATTGATGTATCCTAAGCAGGAGTTGCGTGAAAAGCCATGTAGAATAGCTTGAATGAATATGAAGTGAATTAATATCCATATCGCAGAGATGCATTCGCACCATATCTGCGGGACAGATGTCTATGTGGCACTATGTATCCTTTATCCGTTCACACATGGAGGACACAGAAATGCAAGGAGCTTACCAACAATCCAGGACAAAAGGGAGCTTGCTGGTGGGAGGGAGGGGTGGATGGCGGGGAGCTGGAGCTTAGATGAGGAAATTTCTCTCCAGTTATTGCACTTTGTGGTACCAGCCCAGGAGGCACAGTGGCAGCTGTTGAGGGGGGACATATTATGATATATTGTCCGAGAAGCCCTTGGCCAAAATGCCAAATGCAGCCGATGAAAATCTGACATATTGTTCAAAGACCATGTGGGAGAGAGACAAATGCCTGCTCCAGCTTTCCCAAAGCCAGACTTCAAATTCACTGTTTATTTCCCAAGATGATCGTATGATTTATTGAAAGATGCGGCGCTAAAGCTTCTTAGCATCTGTGATGTCAAATTTCTCCGTGCCAAAGCCAGCACATGGTGAGTACTTAGCAATACTCCTTTAAATCAAGGTCATTTCTCAGCATTTACTGGGTATGTGAGTTCTCACAGTTTCTGCCACAAGACTTTGCATGGCCCAGAGGTATTATGTTTGCATGCATTATGTATTATTTCAGATGTATTCCCAGAAAGCTATAAGCGAGCTTTAATTTACCTCATTCTGCTAATGGGCATAACTAAGGACCACTGGCCTTGACAGGTGGGCAGTTAATGTCGTGATCCAAAGGCTGTGGAAATTAAGCCATATGATCTGGGTTCCTAACCACTATTCCACCCTGCTGCCCACCACCGATGATTCCTAAACCACTCTCCCCATTACATCATTTTCATGGGCTCCCCTGGGCTGCTGCAGGCAGACAGTGTTGGGTTTCAAAGCTTGTGTCCGGGCCACTAGCACACCCCTCTCCAAGCCTACCTTTTGAGCCTGGGATCAAAGCTCAAAGAAGCATGAGAATGGAAATAACAAATGAAAATCTTTACATGATCTCAACAAATGTCTTAATTAGCTATTAAAATAAGTAATAATAATAAATAAATAAATAATCCATATTTATTTTAACATATAAATAAAGCATTTATATGGATCCCATCAAGAGCAAGGGAGGGGTCAAGGCCTGAGGACATCCCTCTCGTGTTATACTACCTTGATGGTTCCTTGTGATCTCCGGATCTCTTTCAGTGACTGCGGTAACCCCTGTGAGTCACTCTTAAACTTGGCTAACAAAACCTGGACCTTTACCTCACCTTTGGGAGGATGTGTCATGCGGTGGTTAGACAGGAAAAATGCAACAACCCAAGTGTGTGGGTGTTGTGTTTTGTGGTGCACGCATCCATTGCCATGCCATATAATCCCACACTTAGAGAGGAAGCCTCCAGAATGTGGTTACACACACACACAAGCAGAGTGAACCCCCCCCCCCCCCCCCCCCCCAGCTGTGAAGGAAGCTGTAGGAGTTGTCAGCAGATGATATGGAGGTCAGAGTGCAAAGAGAGGACACAAAGATCGGGGGCATGGCGATCAATCGATTGGTTGTTGCTGCGTCCCTCTGGGCCGCAAAGGATGTGGCTGTCATTCCAAACTTGACGGAGGGGAAAAACACAAAAACTGTCTTTATTGTGGAGGGAAAACCCAAATGTTTGTATTCCATGCATAGCAAGAAAATTGGTGCCACATGTGCATGCAGCAACCACGTGAAATTTACCAATCATATCGTGAATGTCATTGTGGATTATTAACTTGTCTTGCAGAGTACACTAATAACATATAGATCATTGCAGTGGCACACTGACCTGACTTATATGGGGATTTTGCATATAAACCGAACAAATATAGGGTATTTTTTTACAGTACAGTCAGAGTTTGAGTCATACAGCATTCTGCTGTATAGAGTCTCGATAATGGTTCACAGATTGCTGACCTGCCATGATTAATGCCTCTGCTGGATGCTTTTGACAAATTTGCACCACAAACGCAGAGCTTTTCGAACAGTTTCCATTCCATACACTACTGTAGCTGCTGTGTGCATGTGTATATGCGTATATACAAACCAAGACCACACTGTGACTTTTGACAGTGCTATATGAGCTGAGAGGTGATGCAGTGGTTGTGCCAAAACACAATGCTTCTTCCTTTGCTTTGTTTTTGGGTATTTTTACATTTGTAATAGTTCTACTCTACAAGAGTGTGTTTATAATGTGTAAATTTCACAATTATTTAAGCTATTGGTTAATGGGAGAAAAGTGCACTTTTTTAATTATCCGAAGAAGTACTGAATGGTACATAGTTTTTTTCAATCATTGCTTAAACTGACAACATTTTATCTGCTGTCACTGCTAAGACATCAACTGACACTTTAACCATTAACAGTGCACATGGTTCAAATACTATGTATTTTCACATGGCACTTCAGCTTCCACTGAAATTTCAGTTGCTTTCACTTCAGTTCAACTCGCATTTCAGTAGCTCTCATTACATTACATTACATTATTTCACTTCAAAAGACAGTCCAACTACTTTCAGTTCTTCAACTGCCAGAAATGGGCAAAAATATTTCAAAATGTTTATCAAAATAAACTATTATATAAACTACTGTATTTTTGTATTTCAAAAATTCGAAAAATAAATAAATAAATACATAAAAAACTTTCCAAGATACCATATAATCACTTTGCAAACCTTCTATTGGCCAATTTGATCTATCCAGATCTAACCAGTACACTGACTCAGTGGACAATGAGATCAACAGCTTTTCTGTCCCTAATGAGTCATAAATCTGACATATGCAACCAGTCAACTGATCAAATATTAACATATCCCTGTGATCGCCTAGATGAAGTGATGTTAGTTTTAAAGTGACCAACAGTTAATTTTTTAACTAACAGTTTGATCAACTTTGAAATATTTTAATTTTATTTTTTTCTTGCACAACCAACCCTAACATAGGCTGGAATTAGCAAGCCAATGTAAACTGTGAGGACTGCTACTTGGCTCGAATACTTAGCTAGAACATTACCCAGGTGACTAAAACGAACACCAAAACATAACAGGAACTGTTAAGAACTTTGGCAATTTCTGGTAAAAATGGTTGGAAAACTGTCCCACAGAGATCTTGTAGGGAATCACTGAATATTTTGTAATGCTAAACAGTGGCATTTTGCAAACTCTTTATGCATGCATATGCCTCATTATGCAGCTATAATGTCTGCTGAAAATGCAATGCTGATTATGGATTTGGTTGAATCATGTCTTTGAATGGTAGCAGATGTTTAATAAGCGAAAATAAGGCTAATGATGTGAAGATGTCCGTTGCCTGGCCTGGCCTTTAATCTCTCTCTATTCATCTAATCCCTTTCCTCTTCAAAGCCTCCAGAGATGATAACAAAGCCTGAATAACAAACATTTTCACCACAACTGTATTAAAAATAAATGTCTTCATCCGTTAATCACAGCCAAAGCAAATCTTTGTTTTTATGTTTTATTATTAATAGTCTTTGCTACAATTCATATTTAAAAAGTCTTAATATCAAACAAGCTCAGACAGTGTCAAACTGCTGATTTTAAAAAAAGGAAAGAAATCTTTTGGTGCACCACACACTCTACATGTGAAGGAGGGGAGCTGTAATGATCTGGTACAGTAAATGTCATGACTGCAGGATATTGTAAATACTTGGTCATAACTCATTAAAGATGATATCACTGGGATTATTCTCTAAATCTGTTATCTAAATGGTTTCTCCACTGAGACGGTATGTTTACCTAATACACAACCATAACAAAAAAAATACAAAAGAGATACAAAATAAGACTCTTGAGAAAAGGTGTTTTTCAATTAATCAAATCTACACAGTGCACACTCACACAATATTGTTCTATCACTTGGCAAGAAAAGGAAGAACAATATACACGCAACAAGATAAACACTCATGAAAAGGACTTATTATAATGACTGTTTAGACCATGAAGTGAATTATATTTCCAACACATCAAAAATAAAACCGTGTAGGTCTTCTGATCATAAATATAGTCAGTAGTAGCATTTTTTTGCTTTTCAACAAATATGTGCATTGCACATGAGAAACTATTTGTAAAATCAGTTATTGGTAAAACCATCATTTAACTCAGAGGTCCCTTTTTCCAAAGAACTTTTTGAAGACGGACTTATTGCGTGGTCGTGGCAGGCTGGCGTAGCTCCTCAGAGCAGAGTCCTGATAGGTGTCTGGCTGCCATCCAGCCAAGGCCGGCAGCGGGGGCTCTGAGCCTCTGCTCATGGATGTACTGTCTGATGACTTGTCTCCAACTACAAGAGTCACACAGTAGTTGGAGCCTCTTTCCGGGCCTCTGCCTCCAGGGTTGTGCGACGTTGGTTTGATCTTCTGAAAAGTTGCTGAGAAAAAACAGAACGAGGGAACATTAGGAGCCAGAAACAGTTGTTTATGAACCACAGACACATTGCAGATCATTGAGGTTAATAACTGCGCTAACACTAACCTGATGTGAAGGAGTGGGAGCGACGCTTGTTGCTGAGCCAGTCCTGACTGCTGGATACAGGGGAATGAGGAGGGGGGGGGGAGGTGTTGTCTCTGGATGCTCCAGACAGTCTGTGAGTCATTGTCTGCTTAAAACTGCCTAAATCATCATCTAGAGAGAGATGAAAATTCTGTATTTAATTAAGCAGAACTGATGAACAGAAAAGCTTAGCAACAATTTTTTTCAAACATTTTCTGTAGAGATGTGAGCGGTCTCCCTGTGGTGATGTGCTTGAGGTTTTAATATGTAGCAAGATAATACCTGAGCTCCTCCTAGTGGTACATACTACACCTGCAACAGCCATTCACTTTTCTTCTATGAGTGGAGCTCTTAATCACAGCACTCTGAAACATTACAAAGCTAAATTGAATCCTGAATTCCTTTTTGAACTCAGCATTACCCTCGTGGGTAAAGAAGCAAGCCAAACCAGCGTGGTAGAGCCAACAATGGTAAATGTGGCTTGTATTGCTTCCGCTAAGTGTGAATGTGGAGCAGATGCACATTGAGTTTCTCCCCAGGTAAATATAGCTTTTGTCCACACAAGCAGAAGGCCTTACCACAGCCGCCTCCGTCTGAGGATGAGATGGTCGACTGCTCGTCCACACTCCTTAAATGACTCTGTGTCATGTGACTGAACTCTCTGGTGAGGACGACAATCTCTTTGGTTTGGGCGGCGCCCGGTGGCTTGTGCCTGGGGAACGTGGAGGTGACATCATGTCGGGAGGAGCAGTGGCATTTGGCAAGACCATGACAACCAGAGCAGAGGGAGGGCTTTCTGGAAGGTGAGAGGGTGTTTTTATTACTAAACATTTATTGTAAGGATCAGGATTATTGTGACTTAGGAAATCAAGAGTTGGAGGTGGTTAAAACGACATGTCTTACAAGGAAATTGGGAGATCAACTGGGACAGTTGATGATGAAGACACAGACTCACTCTGACCTTTTAAGAAAAAACAACACATCAATGAATCACAGCATTTTCACCTGAGTTCAGAATTAGCATAATTAGCTTTGAAATTAAAATGTCTACCTGTGTTTGCTTGTATTTTCATCATCCATTTTTTCATCAAAAAGCGTGAGGAGGCATTAAGCAGATATTCAGACCCATCACGGAGCCTGAGGAGGTGACAGAATGGTCAAACACACAGCTGTCTGTATATCTACCATCGCCTTTAAATCTGTATCATCTATAAAACATCATCATTGTAATTTGGTGGTCATAAAAATCTTACCGTAGTCGAAAGCAGTTGGGTTTTTTGGTGTACTCTAGTGCAGGTGAACACTCTGCTCCCGTGAGGTTCAGCGGCAGGCCACATGCAGAGCTCTGCAGCACAGCACAGATTGATCATCACTGACTTCATACTCTGCAATTCAATTATTTACCATTTCTGTTCTCCTAGTTTTCTGCTTACCCTCAGTGTCTCCTTTCTGTCCTGGTAGAAGCACAAGGTGTGTCTATATAGGACGGCATGGTAGCAGTTCCAGCCTCTGGAGGCCGCCTGTGAAAATAAGATAAGAATGTGGGCTGCTGACTGCGGGCTTTACATTTGCTGACCGTGCTGGCTTAAACACTGCATGGAGCTTTTCTTACTTTCTTTCCTCCCAGCTGCAGCTTGTGCTTCCTCTCAAGCGCTCCCTCCATGGACTGCAGCTCAGGCTTTGCACTCTACAGAGGGTTTAAATTAACAACAACATTTAGACATTTAGAAGAAAAACTCCTCTTTGTGGTTAATCACAAGAGCCATATTTCTAATAGGCAAAGAGATTTACACATTGCGGTCACTCCTACCAGTGTGCTACACTGCCCTCCTGTGGCCATTGATTCTTCCTGCTTCTCCATGTTGTCCAGGCCTTGAGAGGCTTTTCTTTGCTGACAGACGCCATCCAAACCCATATGAACTGACAGTAAACTCATTGACTGGTCCTGTTCAGAAAGAGGAGATTCCACAGTCATCACTGATCACAAGGTAATAGTTGCTCATGCAGATGCATTGCTTTTTTATTAAATATCGACACCGCAAGGGTGACAGAAACTACAGATTTAGATTTAGACATAATAATTGACACGCTTGTTGATAATATATAAACATTTAAATGTTATGGGGTAAAGTTTCGGTTCACCCAAATTACATAAAAACGCTCTCGCTAACTTTTTTCTCGCGTATCTCTGACATGCTAGTGTTTTTGGTTTTGTTTGCCCAGGTTTTAGCTGTTTGAAAGGATTTCTGCCACCACCCTGCTACAATGAGATGGTGGACATCAGAGAATAGAATTGTTTGTAGTGCTTACAGCAATGAAAAATTACATTTTAGACATCGTCTCAGTCAATCTGGGTAATACACATAGCTCAGCAAAAATGTCAAATTAAATGCTGTGAAATTCTAAACACTTCCTTTGTACTGGGCAAATCCCAAAACCCAAACTATCCCCATTCCTACATACCAGTAGAAATAGGTGGGATTTGTTTTGTTATTTTTTCGGTAATTTGGGTGAACTGATCCAGTGTCACAGATTTCGACATCACAGTATATCAAACGCTGACCTCACCTTTGAACCACCTGTGTGCTCATTCACCTCCTCCCCCACCTTTGCCTCCACTTCCTCCTCCTCATCTTCTCTGTATTGATAAATATATCTCTGGTTGTCCCCTACATCTGGCAGCTTCACTGGATCAGACGCCGTCTCGTTCACTGTCACTGAGGTCTTGCTGGCTGGTTCCTTGTTAGGAAAGGCCGCCCAGGACCTCCTATCTCCTACGGCCAGTGGAGGGAGGTGACATTTGGGACTCTGCTCCTTGTCGTAACCCAGCAAGCTCTGAACGTAGGGGGGCAGCCTAAACTCAGCCACGAGGAGGTTGGGTGCAGAGGCTGTGGCCAGGTTCCTGTAGAGCACAGCCGGGTTCTTAGGTGAAGGTGAGCGGGAAAGGAGCTCTCCGGATGGGTCTGAGGGTTCAGGTTCGTCCTGGTTGGGCTGGTACATGATGTCTGAGCAGATGCTATGTCTGTAGTTAGTATTCTGGTTCCAGATGTCCTCCAGTTCTTCTTCTTCCTCCTGAAACTGCCGGTGGTCCAGGTGGACAGGCTCTGTTTCTAGATCTGCTGAGTCTGTTGATGGACCCAATGATGTTACAGTGTTGTCCCTTGTTTTAGTGCAGTCTATGCCTCCCACCTCAAGGGACACAAGCCTCCCCACCACCCCCTTTGGCTGCGGGGTATCTGGACATGGAGGATCAGTGCAAAGCTTGATATTGCTGGAGATGGAGATTCCAGAGTCTACTGAGTCCTGACGAACACTAACACTCACTGTTGACTTCAGATTCACTACCATATGAGAAGCTTGGCTCGGACACTGAAGTCCAGGACTCTCTTCATTCACACTCCGGGGTCTGGCACTTTTATGGTACTGGTGTCCATTTAGGTCTCGGATGAGCGTATGCACACTAGGGCACCCACGTTTATGTTCAGCTGTACTTTGGGCTTGGTTCACATAAATAGGGAGCTGGGAAGGCTGGCTGGTCCCATCCCTTTCAGCTGTACTGGTTTTAACCTCTAATGACATTTTGTCCCACTCCTGCTCTGCACCCTTGTGCAGACTAAACTGTGTTTTAGACAGGCCGTTACATGGTACAGTCTGGTCTTCATCCTCTTGCAGGGAAAGAGGACGTGGTGGATGGAAACTCTTCCCCATGTCAGGTAGATCTTTCACTACAACCGTTGAAGTCTGTGTTTCAGAAAAGCTGATATCTGCCGAGCTGTGTGTGACGGCAGGAGTAGGTCGAGTCTGTTTGAAAGAGCTTAGGGCTGTGTGTCTCTGGGAGTGGGGGTCTGGATCAGTCCCTGCACCTTTTTTGGACTCAGGAGGGGCGATGGTAATGATGTCCTGAATGCTGGGGATGAGGGTCATGTCCTTAGGTAGGTCGAAGCTCAGCACGGAGCCCAAGGAGAGGAATCTGCAGTGGCTTCTCACATGATTTGTGGTTGGCCCCTCTGACACAGCATATGGAATAATGCTGTATTCCCCTGAACATTCTGTATCAATGTCCTTCAGCAGGGGATTCTTCATATAGGCCATAGCTTCTACATCCCCACTCTTTGGTGAACTCTTCTTCCTTCTGCCTTCTTTCAGTGGCCATGTATGTGTATCATATGTGATTGTTTCGCAGGCATAGTGGGGCATCCCTTCCGTTTGCTCTTCCACTCCCAAGATTTTCTGGATCGTGTGTCTGCGAACGTCTCGCTTCCTCTTTCTCTTCTTGCCCATTCTCTTAAGGCTGCTGAAGATGGAGCTGCCGCCGCTCCCCGTCAAAGGGTGGAAGGTTACGTTAGCCATCTGAGATGCAGGCACTGAGGAAGATGGCGAGGAGGAGGAGGATGGCAAGAAAGTAGGGGAGGCTGAGGCTGCAGAGCGGCTCTTTTGGCGGGGCAGGGTGATACTCTCATAGACAGGGGCCACAGCCAAGTTGTTATCCTTGACATGCAAGTAGGTACTTACCTGTAAAAGAAAAGGATATTAGGTTTGTGTGAGCTCTTATATCATTGAGACTGTAAAGGCTTCATTGCAAATGGTTAACCGCAGAAAGACTCATGCGTGCTGCGGGGCTAGAGCCCCGAGGAACCTCTGTGAGAACAAGAGCTGTCTCATGTGTAGGAATGATGACATGAGATCAAAACCGACTAAGACAATCAGCTACTTTTCATAGACAAACATCAGCCTCTTCTCCTCTACATCCCACACATCCAAGAAAACAATGGTGATTCAGTAATTTACAAGCCTCACACAGCAATTCAAAAGTATAAACAAAGACAAAGACATTAGATGAAAGGACAAAAGAACATGGACATGACTACAATTGCACACTTGCAGGACTTAATCAAAATCATATGTGGCTGCACATGCTGTCATATGCAGCTGTAATGGCTTGACCTTTCAACTCTGTGACTAATCTCTTGTTTCTGTGGAAGCCCCAGACTATAAATCATGGTGTGCAGTCTGGGGGCCTTTCTTTAAAGTTCAGCACCAGTTCTCTGTCTAATGACTGCGCTTGTATTGGCATTGGGGACGGACTCCTGCTGGGAGCCATTCTGGAGCACAGGTTTCATAGGAAGAGAGGATGAGGTCACTAATTTTACACAACTGTGGCACAGCCGTGAAGAGGCTTGTAGTGAAATGACAGAAGGAGAAGAGAGAGCTTCTGTCAACATTCACAGCAGGGAGAAGTCTCTGTGTGCTTTTCTTACTCATCACCCCCATTCTGTCTCTGTCATCGGTGCTTTCAGGCTTTAAATCCTGGCTCATTGAACAAGTTGAGGTCCAAAAAAAAGTTTTAATGTTGGAGGAAAGTTGGATTGTAAACATACTGCTAAATTGTCTTCTGTTGGGAATATAACCATTTAACTGGGCTTACACAAGACAACCTAAAAGGGCATAATGACTGCTGACAGGTCATTGCAAAGATGGATTCACAATCACCTAGTAAATCCAAAATATAATATACACATTTGTTGCCTCAAGCGTACTTGGATAATCCCTCTTGTTTTTAAGGCTGAAATGTATGACGGGTTCCATGACTGCTTTAAATATAAATGCTGCAAAAATAATTCATAGACTATTTTTAGATCAAATGCAATAAATAAAATCCGAGAATCCAGCTTGCAAAAACATTTGCAGAAAATTAATCAATTCAAAAACATTTTACATACAGTTTTACTAGAATTTAAATAACTTTTCTGGTTGACAAAATACTAAATAATTGGTATACATTCATTGTATACATTATAGTAACTTGTAACAAACTGAAACAGTCACATAATGTCAACATATTTCTCTCTGAAAACAAGAGATTTTTGTTCACTAACTGGAGATCGGATGTTTGATTGAATTTCATTCATTACCTTTATCTTTTTTACAAATGGACTGTAAAAGTAGCACCCCTCTTTTCCCATCCCATTAAATATCATGACAGAACGTACCTCATTAAAAACATTTCAGTGGGAGATTGTGAGTTTTGACAGTAAAACGGTTTGTTGTCTTTTCTCACTTTGCAATCATTACCTGTAAATCTTCCAGCCACAGTGACTTTGGAAATGGGGTGAGCGCTTTGGCATGCCTTGTTTCCTTTTACTGTCATGCCTGGCTTCCAGACATGGCAACAGTGCAGGGAAGCTGCAGACGGACTGTACCTTGTCACAGGGGTTAGTAGAGCATGCTACCCCTCAGAAAACAACTACACACAGCATGCAGTCCCAGCACACTTCGAGACGCAGCATGCAATGCCAATTCACACTGCACAATTTACCTCGTTTGCACTCTGCCGATAAATCGTTCTCTTTCGCTTTAAACTACCCAAAGTATTTTCCAAAAGCCCCTGGCAGCGCCTCCAAAAGTTTTTACAGGCAGAAGATTGAGGCACAGCGGGCTGAGGGAGAAAACGGGGAAAAAGGAAGATATGAAGGCCAAAGGACAGGGAGGAATGAACAGCAGCAGCCCAGGAAGGAGATCCCATGCAGTGTCACAGAGTTACTGCAGTGACCTTCAGGAATAGCAGCATATATCATTTGTTTCAGTGCTTTGAGGAAGAAATGTATGTAGCCAGTAATAGTGGCAGCGGCAACTCTAATGGAGTTTTGTGACTTCTAGTGTGAGCGTGTGTAAGTGATGAGTGATGTTTCTCACCCTGTGGACAGGCTCCAAGATCTCCTCCACTACCTCATCCGTCCTAGCAGGTGGGTCAAGCACCTGAACCTGGTTCTCCCCTGTGTTACCAAAGCTAAGGATGAGGTTGACCGTGCCCCCTAAAGCAGGGCTGCCGGGATCTTTGAGGACCACAATAGAGGGTTTGGGAGACTCTGAGGAGGAGACCTCGCGGCCCCGTGGTCCAATGCTGTTCATGACCTCGTACCCATCCTCTAACTGCTTCTCCTCCTGCTGCTCAGCTTGTCTGGGCGGCAGGGACGAGGGCCGGCTGTCTCCGGCTATCTTGTCTTCGTCGGAGGTGACGAGTATGGACTGATGGGATTGGTAGGCTTCTAGCTCAGGAGCTGAACTCTGTGTAGGAAGCCATGGAAAGAAAAATTAACAAATATTCACATATAATATAAATATTTGCCACAATGGGAGGTAAATAAGTACTAAATGTGCACGTAAACATATTAAAAGTATTTCCAATGGCAGGAAACATATTGTGGTACTTTTTTTTGTGATTTATTATGATGACAATGATTTATTTTTTTATTCAACTTATATTAAGTTATTGTTTTTTTTAAATCAAAGAAATGACATATATGTGTGTCAAATATGACATTGTTCAAAAAACATTTTAGGTTGTTTTTCAAGTTTGTTTTTTTCCTCCCAAGTCTGTACCACACAATACTCATTTACCTCTCTTAATGGAGAGCACATTGTGGCCTCAGAATAAATGTTATCTTGTGAAGCCTCCTGTCTGCTCTTCTTGTGAAGCCACTGTTGTTTCTGAGCCCTCCAGTGCACCAAAATCCACCCAAGCATACTCCTGAGTTCCTCCATGCGCTCTCTTATCTGCAAGACATTACTCAGGGTTTATAAAAGTAGGGTGGGTGGGTGTGTGTGTGTGTGTGTGTGTGGGGGGGGGGGGGGGGGGGGGGGGGGGGATGGCAGTGAGTCATATGCGTAACCCTGCTCACCATCTGTGTGAGATGGTGTTCTTTGTCTAAAAGGTTCCTCCCCGTGGCCACCAGCTCATCAAACTCCTCAAATCTTTGCTCAATCTGCATGTCCAGCTCTGCAGCGAGTGGCTTCTGGCCATCTTTCCCAAGATGCAAGGCGGTGTCTGAGAAAATGCACGACCTGGTGTCTTCTGTCCATGAGCTATTCAGAGTAGCGGGGGTGGGTAGGACGTGGTGGAGGAGACAAGGAACAGGGCTGTGAGTAAAAGCCATACATTCGAAAACTATGAGAATGAGCAGACTCCCCCTGATAGGACAGACATTCATCGCCTTGTCACACTCGGCCCAGGAAACTTGCGCTGACCTCCTCAGCACATCTTAAATTATACATTTCACCAGGGACCTGTGCTTGACAACATGAACATCCTGTTCTTTCCTTCAAAAGATATTGTAATGGGCAGATGTTCTCACAAAGAGGATTACGAAAGAACGCCTGGCCCAGGAAGGGGTCACAACATCCCCACGCCCTGCTTACATCATGGCGAGGTAGCTCCTGAAGAAGTCCTGGAGCTGCACAAACTCTTGCAGACGTGATTTGTTCTCCGTCACGCTCTTCCCCAGCTCTCTCCAGCCCTGCAGTGTAGCCTGGATCTTTGCCCCGAGTACCTGCACTCTCTCCGGGCACAGCTCCTCCAACCGAGAAGCCTGGTTCTCCATCTCCTTTACCTCCTCCCGGATGACTTCATAGTCAATCTGTGAAGAATCATAATAAAAATCTATCACCACCCATCATCCTCGGTATCACTCAGACAGCCTGTACCAATTGTATCTCTGTATGACCTCATAGATTTATGCATATTATTCAGCTAGAGACCCATATGGTCTGCATATGGGCTGCCTCGCTATAGCAAGCTAGCAATCTTGACCACTTTTTTCTCCTTTTGACGAGGCAGTAATTAATAGCATTGAGGGTTCTCTGGGAGTAATACTTCATATCGTTTCTCAGCTACAGTAAGCCTCAAGAACACTGACTTGCGGATGCCTGTCTGCTGACGGCACAGTTATTTCAGTTTGGGAGATTAGGTCATTTCTGCTCCTCAGTGGTATCAAGTCCAGACAGCTGTGTGTGTGTGTGTGTGTGTGTGTGTGTGTGTGTGTGATAAACACAACACTGCCCAAAAATGACTCACACAGAACTTTACCATCCCCAACCTCATCCCCAATCTCCAACCAGTGACCCCCGAATGCATATATTACACACACCCCACCAGATTTACTCACAAAGACACACACACACACACACGTGTGAGAGCTAACAGAACAATGGCTCACACAAGCATAAATAAATATCTTGTGTGAATAATAAACTTTTGCACGCTCTATGTGTGGATGTGTGTGTTTGCATGCCACAGTTTATGTAATAAATTAAACACAGCACAAAGCGGGGTGGCTGGCCCCTTTTTTTAGATGTGAGAAAATTTGGCACAACAGGAAACAGACTGTGGAACAATGTGTTGGGGGCGAGTGCGGGAAAGAGAGGGGGGGCTTCCCCTTCTTATTACACATAGCCAGTGGGATGGAATACTGGATTGTATTGGAAGTGAATTATTTTAAATGTTTACACCATAATCACAGCATGTGCCAGGATCTTCCTCTCACCTCCAGGTGGTCCTGCTTCTCCTGCAGAGCCTCTAGGCCGCAGCGGTCTGGCTCACACTGGACGGCCATGTCTGTCTCCTTCTCCAGGATGTCCAGGCTCAGCTCCTTGCTGAAGCACAAGCACTCTTCCACGCGCACCGCCAAGCTGGCATGCTGTGGAGGCACAAAGTCATCATGAGTACTTGTAGGTTGTCATTAAGTCATAATACTTCACTGTGTATTATTTGTTTTCCAATGAGAGCCACATTGCAAATTAGTGTTTAAAATGGTGTCCTGGAGTCCCCTCCGGGTGTGTGTATGTGCTATTTTGACATGTGAGCTGCTTTTTCACCACGAATAAATCGAATTAACGCAAAAACACTCATGCGAGGCGGAGTGGTGGCTCGTTTGGGGCCTATTAAAGTACATAGCCACAGACAAAAGGAAACCAGATGTTGCTCTATTAGTTTGTGCAGCTGTTTGTGACAAAAGTAGAGGGACTTTAAAACCATTTGCCATCATCTAAGATCATTATAACTTAACAAACACTGCGGCAACCATCTAGTGAACTAAAACTAGAGCATCCATGCACACCCACTGCTTCAATATAAACTGACTCCCATCTCTTTACCTGGCTCAGCAGCTCCTGGATAGCCTGGTCGTGGCTCTGCGATCTACCTCTTGCCCGTACAGTGTCATTCAGCATTTCTACAGCCTCTCGTAGTTCCTCCACAGGGTCCCCCATGCTTTCTATCAGGGGCTCACCGCCGCCACTGCTTTGGAGTCCCAGCAGTGTAGGATCTGAGGAAATCTCACTGTGAAGAGGCTGTTAGTTACAGAGGGAGAGAGAGAGAGTTCTTATGAAAACAGGTCCAATATCATTTTCTCACTTAGCCAGGCAGATAGTGTGTTTTTATGTTTTGAGAAATTCATCTCTGAGCTTCTACCCCAAAACAATATAATTTTTCAATACTTTGAGCATCATAAATTAAAATCCATTCACCTTCATTGTATTGGGTTAGTGACATACATTCCACAGACAAATATCTCAAAACCAAACCATTAGGTTAAGGGAGAAAATATTTAAAATTTGGGTGAAATTATCCTTTAAATGCTACTTTTGGTGCACAGTGTCTCACCTGGCCGAGGTTGTACTGACTCCCGCTGAGCTCCTGGCTCTCCTCCAGCTCCACGCGTTCCAGGAACTCAGTCAGCATTCGTGTGTCCTGCAGCTCTGAGTTCTGCTGGGTCAGGGCACTGTGGACACGATGGTACCTGGGAAACACACATACACACAGCAGGAATGTTTACATTGACCAGCTACACCTTAACTGTAATCAACATCCGCATATACAAGCTTGCATCCTTCAGCAGAACCACATTTGAGAGGCCGCAAGCAGCATACTGAGCACTGTTTATGTAATCATATATCATGTGTCACATAAACACATCCTGTACTTTGGCGCATGAAGGTACCCTGTCCATGCAGAGTTTATATTTGAGATGGTAAAGGTAGCAATTTCAAAGAGTATTTTTTCCAGAATAAATGAGCCTTAGTTGCTTGTATGTAGCATTAAATAATGACATCATCCCAACTGTTGTACAGCTGCTTAGTCAGAGCCTCTACCTGCATCAATGGTTCCTCAGACTGCTCAAGTGTCCATATCTGCCCCATCTAACACCCCCACCCTGGAAACACTTAAACTGAGCCCTTTCCGTTTCTTTATTTTCTTTGGTCACCTCGGTGAGTCTGAACTTGTGTTTACAGTCATAGGTACGTCCAGTAAACCAGCCAACACCATAAGGTTTTACTGAGAGTCCGTGGCAACAACCTGTCTTTCGAGGGCCAACCAAAGAGAGAGGCATCGTCTTGCAAAAGTGCAATGGGTGACTCTGACACACACTGACAAGCTGTGGGTGAAGTGCATGTCAGGACTGTGGGGTAGACCTCATTAAGCGCTGCATGAAGCACAAATGAATGAGCACATGGAGAGGATTTTTGCCAACTTGGAGGAAAAAAAGACACCTCATGAGATCTATGGATATATATTTTTGCAGTTTATGGGGTGAAACTGTTTGTCTTAAATAAGAACAGGGAAACTCTTCCATGTTCCAAAGCTGTGACCTCTTGGAAACTGGGGTGGGGGGTGGGGGTTGGGGGGGGGTAACCCTGACCACTCCCTCTCCTCCTTTGAAAAACTCACTTTCTTTCCACCTCCTCCATGCGCGCCGGCAGGCCTCGTGTGTGTGGGGGACTGTGGCCGTGGAGCCGGTCCACTTCCTGCCTCAGAGCATGGAGCTCCAGGCTGCGTGCTGCCACCTCTTTCTCCAGTAGACAGCTCTCCCTCTCAGCCATGCTCATTGTTTCAGGGTCACCAGCTAGAGCAGATTCCTTCATGGAAAGCTCCACGGACTCCAGCCAGGCCTCGAGGCTGCTCAGGGCCTGGAGCACTTTTACAACCTATGCAGTAGAGAAGCAGAGAGGCTAATGATGTAGCAGTTTACTGCTGTGATTTGCAAGTGATTTAGTGCACAGCAAAAACAACCAGAGGTGATGTGATGTACAAAGAAGACAATAATATGGTTACCTAATGGAAGTAGACCATGCTCTAACCTACGTTTTTTGTAATAAAAGACTCACGCTTTCCAACTAAGTCATCAATCTGGGTGGATTTGCAGCCTCTTTCCATCCCATAATCGAATTATATGGTAATGCAATTTATAACCCTTGGATTAGGCTTCATACATTTTTTGGGATGTACCTTGCAGACTCTGCCAATCACTGTGGTAAAGATGAAAGTAAATGAGCTTCTTACCATGAGTGTATGTGAACAGCCCAGGCTCTGAGCCAGCGTAAAACTTCTCCCAATGGGAGAACTGATCCAGAATCATCCGTCATAACCATAAATTCCCCTATAACTGCAGAGGTAAGTAACTTGCCTCAGTATGACTCAAGAGAAGTGCCTGCTGTGAGATATTTGATGAATCTTACCCTAAAACCCAGCTCCTCTGAGGCCTGCAGAAACACAGCATTCCTCTGGTGCCTCCTCCGCAGCTCCTCCCACAGGACTTCCAGCTGGCCGAGGAACTCCTCGATCTTGGCACTGCCTGGGTGCTGTGCACGGACCAGCCCGCGGCCCTCCTGAGGACGGAGCGTTAATTGATGAGAGTATGTGTTGACTATGGACTGGGATTTATGTTGCAAAATATAGACAACTTTCTCAGATGAAATGTCAGCTCGTTATTTGATTAATACACAAACCAGACCTGTCAAGGTGCCCAGTTTGCATAATGTGAGGGATATTTTCATTCAAGGAATTCATCCAGTGCTTATGTTTTAAGAGAAACTATGAATATGTAAGTGTGCCTTGGCTCACCCTTTTGACCACCTCTATCCTGGCCCTGTTGGTGAGGATTTCTTGCTCCAGAGCGTGCTGACACCTCCTGGCTGTCTCCGGACCCTCAAAATTAGCTATTGAACACACCTGTGTGGCCATGGACACATTGTCCTTCAGCCAGGACAAAGTCTGAGATGGGAAGGAGAGCAAACAGGGAAAGGGAAAGGGTTAAAGTGATGAAGAGTATAAAAGAGCAATATCTGAACGCAGAAGAGATTACATTTGGATGCCAAGAGCCACAGGGGCCACAGTGACCAGGATCCAGCTGATGTTTCTCATTCTGACCTTTAAACCAACCCAACATTTGTAATTTAAAAAAAAAAATCAAGACAGTTACTGGAAATAAGAAAACAGTTGCACAGCAGTAAGTATTCAGCCACACTTGAATGCATGTCAACTTTGTCTCATTTAAAAATGTGACCTAATGTCTGTGGCTGATTACAAGAAAAGGGTGTAATAGTGCTGCAGTGCTGACTTAACACTTCATAGCAATGAATCCTAAGGTTGACGTTACAGGATTTTACTCAAGATGAGCCATTTGTGTTTCAACATATGTTCTGTAGAGTGGCCAAACAGTTTTCAAAGGTGATTTCTAGTGTAAAGGGAGACGCAGGGGCGCCTGGGAGGGGTCAGGTCACCTTGTCAGCAGACACGGTGAACTTCTGGAGCTGTATGTGAAGCTGTGGGTGGCCTCGCTGGGTGGTGGCAAGCTTGGGCTCTGCTCTGGCCTTCCTGCTGCAAAGAAAACACGGACATGTGACTCCAATTATGACTTACATAAAGACCTCTCATTATGTAAGTCACAGAGGGAGAGAGAGAGAGAGGGAGGGAGAAGCCAGGCTGAAATGTCACCTTTCCCCCTTCAGTTGATGTCTGACGATGACATCATTGGCAAAGGCAGGGCCATCTCCCACGGGTGAAGAGGTGCGGTTCGCTGATTGCTGCTCCTGGCTTTCGTTGCCCGGTGTTCTCCTACCAGTCCCACATTCAACAGTACTCTGTGGACAAAAGAGTAAAAGTCTCTGTAGGAAAATCCAGAAGATCAGCAACATGACATGTGAGTAATGTCTTGCCTCCACTGAATAAACGTTGACTGGATGCATAAACATCTCAAATGGAGAATTTTATGAACTGAGCAGTCACTAGACAATGAGGCGTTGCTGTTGCTCCCTGCTAATGTCAATGTTACAATGTGGCTGGAGACAACATGGGACAGCTGCCCAGAGTAGAGTCTCTACTGTAAATGACAAAAAGCATACATTCTTACAAATGTTGGCTATCCTCAGTGAAATAACCCAGAGCAGGCTAAAAGTACAAGCTATTTCTGTTTGACAGCATCAAAGTTTGTAATAAAAATACCAAAGATGGCAGCAAAAGTTTAAATAAATCATAATTGCTTTATGAATGAACATATTAAGTTGAACATACACAGTTGCCAACATGTGCTATACCACTCTGATGACTAAAAAGAGCCACTGCAGTTGGAAATGTGACCCTTTTTTAAATCCCCTATGCCTAACTCTCATTAAATAGCAGCAGTGTTTTTTCAGCCTTAGATACTGATTTCCATGGCCGACCACGCCAACTCTGTTTAGAACTATGCAGTGGAGTTTCAAGCAAGGTCAATGCCAGAGCTGTAGACCTTGTCTATGTGCAGAATGTATTAAAGACGTCAACAGCCACTAAGCCTTTTTTACAACCATTTGAATACTTTAAAGGTTGGCCAAAGGACTTTGCAGCAGGGTTTCCAATGAGAGCTACGTGTATCTGGACTATTACAGAGAACACAGTGGGATATCCTGATAGCTGGTGTTTTTACCAACTGCAACAGGATGCGTGTACAATACTTACGTTACGTTATTTATTGAAATGTTGTTATTCAAAAGTTTATTTTCTTTTGGTAGTTTTCATTGTTTTGTTGGTATGTACTTATGTTGTTTCTAACTGTGTATGATTTAAGACTGTGAGGCACCAACCGAGGTTTTAAAAGTGGCTATATAAATAAAGTTGTACTTGCTTTGCTCACCAAAATTGGTTGCCATAAATATGAGATAATAAAATTAACTGTGGATTTAGTAAAGCATTCTCTTATGCTGACATATCTGTCTAACTGTATGAATAATGCAGACCTTTGCTGTGTTAATTGTTCTATATAACATAATGTCTTTTACATATGCCAGTAAAAACAGTGCTGACACAAGTAAGGGCTTTGCAACAATCAGCAAGGCAAATATGCATCTGTCAATGCTCCCATGTTAAAACATCAGAAATACTGAATTTACACGACAGCCAAGAAGCACAAAACAGCCATTATTAATAGTGTTTTATGGAGTAGCTTTAATTTCACCATGTTATTTTGTGACTGAGCTTATAGAAGAAGTGAGTCAGAGAGCGGGAGAAAAGTGTCGCCTCCAAAATTATGCGAGAGATGCAGTAAATTGAAGGGGTCTAACACCATTTACTAACATGCCAGTCATTTTATTGGCCAGTCTGAGTTTCATAGAGGTACATTATCGGCCCATTCATGTGCTAAAGCTGTAGAACTAACAAACTACTGTCATTCATTTGACAGGATTGATAACTATCACTGACGTCTCCTCCCCAGATATTTGCCTCTGTCTGTCATCCTTAACAGTGGCTTCCACTGTAAACAACTCCTGTGGTGCACTCACAATCCCATTCTGCCATATGAAAAGCATGTCAAACCACAGCAAAAATAGCTGTTTAATGATTTGCTATGTCATATTCAATGGTATTCTGTGTTTTTAGGCCTCATCTAATCATCTCATATTTCAGCATACTTCTCCTATCTGGGTACTGTTAATTCTTATCTGTTTTCTACTGATCTCCTCTTCCCCTGTGTGTCGTTCAATGTGCTATGAAGTGATGTCAGCCAAGGACTATCACTTAGCACCAAGCCCATCTGGTCTGCAGCCCCAGCATGTGGCTACAATTAGCCAGAGAAACAGACGATAGCCATGTTTTCCTCCAGCAACAAGAGGCCATACTACTGCTAACACAGACACGGACATATAGATTATAATGCCTGTACCCATGCACATTATGACACTAAAACCTTCACAGTTGCCTTTAATTAAGTCAAATTGCACGAGAGGAAGAAAATACAAAAAATGTTATTATGCACGTGTCTTCAGAGGCACTGAAAGTGCTGTTAACCAGCACATACCCAAATGCCTCAGAGTCACTATCAACCCACAGACCTGTGCAGCTGGAGTTAAAGTGCTGCGAAAGTATGTGACAAATTACTTTTACTGTTAAACTAGTGGAGTAACTAGAGTTTGGCCTTTGGGCACCAGGGGTTAGTTTGTCTTTTAATCCTTCCATAAAGAGTAACAAGTGAGACTCCTGCACCCAGGTAACTTCCAGCTCCCAGTGCAATAAAGGTGAAAGGGCCCTGGAGGACCCTGGACGGCCATGGCAACGAGCTCACCACCTACTGAGAGGAACAACTGAGCGTGGCTTGCTGACCTGATCGGCTCCCATCGCAGGTGGTGAGGCCACAGGGCCAGTAAGAGCCTAAAAACATGTGAAGGGAAATAAATGGAACCAGAAACACAGGGAAAATGGAAAAAGTGAAAGGTTTTCTCTCTTCGAGCATCTGGGCAAAACGAGGCCAGAGGCTTAGCAGGGACTTCACAAGAGCTCAGGGTCAAAAACAGGAGAGGGGCATTGCATTATGGGATACCTCTGGGCCGAACACAAATAGCATTCACTTACGGATTGTAAAGGGATTTAATGTGCTAACTTAAAAGACTAAATATACACATAATTACTGGTTTTTAACATACCACACACTTAAGTTTCTGGATACATCATCGTCCAAAGGAATAGTATTTCCTTGTAGGTTTATGGGCAGTGGGGTTACTATAGGAGCACCCTCATGTTCAATAAAGTCCTGGTCGGCCTCCAAGCTGAGAAATGTTACGTCTGACGAATGCATATGCTGTAGGTTATCCACTCACTCTGTGCTGACCCACAGGCCATCTGGTAATCTAGTATTAATCCAATGACTGTGTACTTTTGTCAGAGCGGTTGAAATCCACCATATTATTCAACCATAAAGTTAAATTTTGGGTCGGAGGGAAAGGTTTATGTGCTCTGGCCCAGCATTCAACCATGTTGTACAGTCATGGCTTGACATTTTTCATGGAAACTCATGGTTTTCTTGTGCCAGGGTAAATAACACCTCTAAAAGCGCTTCCTGTGACTCCTGCAGGGCAATATTTAGAACATCTGCAGACTGAGACTCTTGTCAAGAGATAGAGAAGACTAGCAGGAAAACAGAGACATATTGCTGTATTCTCATGGTCAGGAGGAGATCTTATCAAGGGCTTTCTCACAACTGGGACATCAGATGATGTTATTGAGTGCGACTGACTAGCTGGTAGGATGGAAAACCAGCAGTATGTTGGGTGCCAAGACTAGAAGCCACTGCTCTACGGCACATGTGACAGACTCCACAAATACTGTTATTTAGGAAAAACCTCCTTAAATTGTAAATTGGGCATTTTCCAAACCAAAGGACAAAGTGCGTCACTTTCTGCAGCCATAGAAGTTGTAGGATTGTTGACTGGAAGAGGCTGAGCTCATCTTTTGCCAGCACTGATGCTGCTGTTCTCTCCCGGTCAAGAGCCACAGTGTGGTTTCTCCAGTAATAGAATGAAATACCGAAGCTACTTACCACGCAGCCTTTCAGACGATTCTGCTCCTCCTTCACCTCCTTTCCCATGATCCTTTGTGTCTCCGTTCCCACGTTGCACTGGGGTTCTCGGGCCGGTGTCAGGGGGTCAGCATCTTCCCTGGTGAAAGTGGAGCCAGTGGGAGAGAGTGTGGCCCTGTCGGTCCTGCAAGGCGAGCAGAGCAGGAGGTTACTGCGGTGCTGACAGCAGAGCTTCAGATGCCTGCGATGAACTCCAATTATGGCTCTGAACGTTTCTACCAGTGTTTGTGTTATTTGGTTTAAATATCTGTGAAACGCAGCTGATAAGACAGACCAGATGATGTAATATTTGGATCTAAAGATAGTCCGCCGACATGAGAGGCTCTCAGCGTGAGAAATACTTGGAAAGCAAGAGATGTTGCAGATGGATGTCAGGACTGTGGACTTGAGTTAACCCCGACTGTATTTATTGTTATGAAAATGGAAAATGTTCAATCTGGTTTGCCCAGGTAGAGTATGAAGATTGTAAGAAGAATGTTATCTATTGGCCAGTCCAACAAAAAGGAAAACTACTGGCCAGACTGAAATGAAATAATGCCCCATGTTTCAGTCTGTATGCTGTAGAGTGGTATCTAATTCTGGTATTTCAGTGTGGACCACAGTGCACAATCAGTGTGTAATTTCCTACAGTTTGGTTCCCATTTTACTACAGCATTTAAATGTGGCTCTACTCATTAAGTAGATATTGCTTCTGATAGTCTAAAAAAAGTCGAATGACGTAAAAGTCTGGATTCTTACTGTAGGCTATTAAAGTATCAAATAAATTTGTTTTACAAATGCCATAAAAATTACAAAATATCCTTGCAAACATGTTTTATCTCAGATTCAGCAGACTATTCAAGGAGACAGCAGGGTTTTAATGGTGAGAAGAGAACAAACCGTGTTGCCAACTCGACTCACTAAGCCAAGACATTATTCACCTAGTACAGTAATCAAACACATGGTCAAATTCCAAAGCAGTGCAGAAAACTGAATATTATAAACCAAAAGGTGGGTGGTGAGTGATGCTCTGTGTGGTAGTTGGTCTCCAGACATCCAGACTGTCCTTCACTTTGCTTATAATTTTTCACTGATTCAAACCCAAATTAAACAAGGCTAATCAAGAGAGAGAAGAAATCTTTATACAAAGCCCGTTTTCATTTGGAAAACGTCTATTAGGTTTTGCCAGTGCAGACTTTTAATGTAGGACACCAGAAGAGTAATAACAAAAAAATACAGTTCCAGCTCAATGGAAACTGCGGAGGAATAATTACTGGGTGAAATGGTGCATGTTTTCGCAGGGCCACCAAAGCTGTCTGTGCTATCCTTGGCCTGCTGTCTTACCTGAAAACCTTCTGAAGATGCGCCCAGCAGTCCTTCACCTCACTCTGCTTCTGTGTAACGCCGGCAGTCAGGGCAGGATGGAGATTAGACAGCTGGGACACACTCACATCTAGCATCTACCACACACAGGCCTGTAGGTTAGGTAAAGAAGGCTTCTGCAACACACTTTAAGGATCTTGTCAAGCAGTGCTGCTTTAAGTGAAAACATGTTTCCTACCATGATTTGACTGGCGATGTCACGTATTTCTCTATCTCCGAAGCTGTCCAGCTCTTTGCATGCAGACACGCTTTTCCTCTAAAAGACAAGATATGTGTCAGTAAATGTAAGCAAAAAGAGAATCTCAGATATGAGTAGAAAATAAACATAAGCCACAAGGGAATTGTACCATGTTATTTACAGCAAACAACGTATTATCAGCCTGTTGGTAGAATGAGGACACTTCCAGGGCCAGCTGAAGATTTTCATGGTAGTTTTTCAGATGAGACTGGACCTTCAGCCACCTGCAAACAGCAGATGACAGTACGAATAAGTTCAGTGTTCAGTTTATCTTCGGATTAGAAGATGTTTCATGCAGCATACCAGTTCAACTTAAGGGGGGAAAGCATACATTTTATTGATGTGTTTCCTCCTGCTGGAGATGTTTTTGCCATCTGTCTTTCCTTGTTTCTCCAGTTTCAGGGCCAAGTGGTTGATATCCTCGTGCAGGTTTCTGTATAGCTGCTCATCCTGCAGTGAAACAGGGGAACACAATCCAACTATGACCTCAGCTTTCTTTACCATACACCCTGGGAGACAAATTACAGTCAGCCATTGATAAATTACTGTGAAAGCCCTACAGAATTGTAATATAAACCATTAACATATGGGAATGTGGATATTGTTTTACCTCATGAATGTTGCTTATCATGTACAACCTTTTTTTTTAACCAACATTCTGTTAATTATTAATAGTCCTTGTGCTCGTTCCTTCACAGGGCTCACCTGTTTCAGATCTAAAATTCTCCTGGTAAGCTGCATTTTGTCAACATTCTCCCCGAGGACATTCACCAGAGACTGCTCCTCTTCCTGCTGGCACACATAAAAGTAAGTGTTTATAGCCCCCATTTGTTAGGAACCCAACCATTATTTATTTTCAGAGGCAACAGGATTAAACCGCATTAGCCTTGCTACCAAGGTAGATGCTGAACAGATATAGCCCTCAGGGTTAGGTGAGAAACTTTGAACTTGATAGTAATGAACAGAGGAAAGGACAAGTGAAACTAAATGGAGAATATTGTCTCCTCTAGGGATGGATGTTTCATAGACTTCATAAGCAACATCCCACGTTACATTCCCACAAGTCCATTATCAATCACGAGTTCCCTTGTGCCAGACATGGACATGAACAGAGAGATAAACATAGGCATTAGATTGCTTTTTGATAATGACAGGCAGATGTTTTACACTGGTGAATGTACACAAACAAGAGATGTCTTCAGGATACTGAGCTAATTTCTTGCATTAGCAAGTGCTGTTTCTTGTGCCAGTTGTCTTGGCAACTGCTGATTAAAGCTGTCTGTTCACTCATATGTCCACGCCAACTGTTTTTGGTGTTAATTGTTACAGTGGGAGAGCATGGTGTGTTTTCTGTTTAGATAAATGGGTAAAGGAGGGGAAGAACATTGGGGAGATGATAATGGGGGTGTGAACAGGATCATGAGATATGGAAAAGGCTCGGGAGCATGAGGTGCATAAAAATTTTCAAATATGAGGTACTCCCAGTTTCACATTGGTTTTAAATTTGAAAATAACAACATGCAAGGACAAGTAGAAAATGCTAGCATCATGCAGTCAGCAATAAAATTAAATGCTAAACTGCACAAATTGCTGAGAAACTACCAATATTATTTAAAAATGCAATCCTCAAAATTTAAATTGGCCCATTTTGCACAAAAGGGACAAAAAATAGATCTCCTTCTGCAGTTAAATGGACTTCTAACACTTAGCATAACAACAGAAAAAGAAAAGAATGTTTTTTTTACCTTCTCTTTCATCCATGCCTCCAGCTTGTCCACTTTTTTGTTGAACTCCTGCAGGATCTTGGCTCCGCCCAGGGCCCTCGTCTGATTCGCAGCCGTCTGTTTCAGGGTCTGCCATTGGTCCCTGAGCTGGCTGAGCTGCTTCTTCACGAGTTCAGATGTGGGGTTCATCTTGCAAATCAACTGCTCACCCATCTTGAGAACAAAACATAAAGTCATTGTTTAATTTTATGTGTAGCACAGACAGAGCGGCCAGACTAACATAGAACAGTGGCTTAGTACATTTGACACATCAGATTTGTCCGAGTCATTGCTTATGTGCCAGCAAGCTTCACAAATTCATTGCCATTCATTTCTTGAATTCTGCTTCTGCCCTTCTTGGGCGTATCAGGTTAATTACCAGCAACATGCCATTTCCAAACATTTTCTCCTGAGGGAGAAAGTATAAACTGGCTTGACAGAGCCGTCTGGAACACAGGGTCTGCTTTCCTCTCCGGTCGACTGGAAGTGTGTACGGGACCATTATATTATGTGTTGTGTGATCTGACAGACTCTTTCAGCACCAAAGACAGTGATTAATGGTTACATTCAGATCTCCATTACCTGTTTAAATGTCAAAATAAACATTTCATTTTGGTCGTGGGTTTCTCTGATGTGCTCGCTCTGGTAAATTGGTAATATTTTAGTTAAAAGTCCAGCCCCGTGTTGAGTCATCTTGTTACCTGGTTGAGTTGAATTAGGGTGTTCTCAAAGTCTTTGAGGTCTCTCTGAAGCGTCTGCGAGGCTTCCTCCCAGTCCTGCAAGGGGCAGCGCTGAATATTACATCCGTCCTTCAGGTCCTGCAGCTTGCCTTTGATCCACGCCTCTGCCTACAACACAAACAGACAAAAAAGTTAAGGATAGTATATGCTTTACACTGTGCATATCATAGTCAACAGATTCTGAGACCTGATGTAATATAACGTGACAATTCTTTATGTATCAGTGTCACATGAGTTACAATCTGTGACAATGATCTACAGCCAGTTGGCAGTGTAATGTCTGTTGTGTGATATGACCCTCAACAAAGTGGTTGTCATAGTGGTAAACAGAGTCTCATTTCCGCTGATTAAGAGAGTGAACCGGCCACATTCTTTTCCCTGAGTTAGAGTAATACGGAGCCTCAGACGCATCAAGAACAGCCCTTTGTTCTCCAATGTCATGTTATGCAGAGCAGAAGTTTCTCTTGGCAAGTGCCTGGACTGCGAAGCTTGCACAAGGCTTTGTCTCGCAGAGCTGCCTTTTCTGGCACCCTTTATATGGAGTGAGAACTGCAAACCAGGTGGCCAAAGTCAGAAAGTGTAGGAAAGTACATGTTTGTTTTCTGCAGAGATTCCAGTGAGGAAGTCAGTGACCCAAGTCAGAATAATTGAATGTATTAATAAATCATATCAGGTTCTTCCACCTCTCAGACTGATCCTAAATTAGTCATACAATTGATAAATAGCAGAAGTTGCTTTTGTGCTCTCTGCAGAATGTCAAAACACACAAATAAGTCATTATAACATTTAAATCAAAACATTATTTCCCAAGAAATTTAGTGTGACTGACAATGAATTAGACTCTACACTGTAGAGTCTACAGTAACCCGCTTTGGATAAATAAAACATCACATGACACCGCCTCTAAACAACACTTTGTTCAATGTGATGTCACGACTCCTGGGAGAGGCAGGTCATTAACTTTACAAGGCGCCCAGTGCAGCGGAGGTATTTCTGGGTTGAACAGAAGGAAAAGAGCTTGACAAAACAGGCCTGCCCATATCTCGTCACACTGGCTCCCATGGCATTATAATGACCTCATACAGGAAGTCCATGATTCCCTTGTTTCTTCCTGTCTGCTCTCCACAACAATTGTCTGTTTATCTAAATGTACAGTGAGGCCTTAGTCTGGCCACGAAGAATGGACTAATGCATGCAGCTCAGATGGTATCGCTGCCTCTGAGTGTTTGTGAAAAATCTGTGGCCACACAGGAAAACAGCAACTGCAGTCAACACAGAACACATTTTAAAACAAACTCCATGTTTGATGATTATAATCTGGAAACAGACAACATTCTTTCATTTCTGAAGGCTTCAAAGGAGTCCATTTTTAGCATTTTAACTGAAAAAGCCTGTGCCCATCTTTACACTTACACAAATGTTTACTAACAAGTCAAATTTTTTTTTGTCTCTCCAGTAATGCAACTTGGCCCCGAAAAGGCTGTGGGGGTGGACGCATCTCTACTTTCTCTATGATGGAACTTAGATGTTGAAAGGCGAGATGTTTTGCAGAGCGCCCTCGTGGACAGATGGCCCTCGACGAAGCCGTCCTCCATGTGGTGACCCGCTTTGCTCTCCTAGCTTGAAACATTAAGGGCCTTTAAACGTCGCTCCCTGGAAAGCACACTTCCACTTCCACAGCGATGTAATACTGTAATAACACATTTTCATCAGCCATAGCAGTCGACCGAATCCCTGTAAAACAAGCAGGTCCCCAGGTAACAAAACCTCTGGCTATTTACAGTACACGCTCAAATGAAGTTAAAATACAATAGGCTGTTTCCTCCAAAAGCAACAGATAGGGCCTACGTAAGCTCAACTTAAGAGTAAAGGGACTGCTAAGCTTGTTAACATTAACGACGTGCTACAGAGCTGTTTTCAACACATACATTCATCATTTGTTTCCTTCAGCTGACACATGCAAAATGAATTTCTTATTACTGGAAATAAACAGCCTATCACTTAGATGCTTGCTCAACACAGGTCTGATCGCAAAGCCAACTGCTGGACAAAATGTCCCTCAGCCGAACTCGCTGAAAAATGTCCTCGTACAACCGAGGGGGACGCAGCGATGAGATAACACAACCAGTTGTGCTGCTTGGCTGAGCCTCTCTGGGCCATAGGCGTGAAGAGATGGAGCCAAACAATGATCTCATCCCTAAATAATTGCTTCACTTGTGGCGGTTTCCCCTCCCTCTCTTCCCTCAGTTGAACACAGCTCGTACAGTTCTCGGGACAAAATAAGAACCAGTATTCTCTTCTCCTCCGAGGGTCACGCGGCAGGCAGCTTCCAGTCTGATTTCATCTCAACAGCGTAACTTGTTGCTTTTGACATAAACCCACTCCAGCTTCTTTTCATTTGGCATTTTCTTTGCATCAGCGGAGATGAGAGATTCTGATAAGTTACTCACTGTGGTTTCATTTTAAAATGATTTAAAACATCGCCATCTGCGCATTCTGGAAAAGTGGAGTGGAAAAAAGCACACCCTCCTCATAGATTTTTTTTTTTATTAGTTTGCAATTATGAGGGAACACAGAAAAGTAGGAGGAAAGTGCAGCTTTTCATTAGCTGGAGCTCAAACCGACGCAGCATGCAATAAACCCCCTGACTGACCATCACAAACTGTCGATGTTGTGCGTGCATGCTTCATTTTACCTGCAGTACTTCCTTGTTGAAGAGCGAGGTGCGATGAGTGAAGCAGTCACTCTGGGACGCAACAGCTGCCGACGCTTCATTCTGTGTGTGTGCGTGATTTTCTTTCCTCTGTGGCTCTTTCTTCTGCGATTCAGGCATTGAAACCTGTGTGAGCACATAACACAGGCATGAAAGTGTTGAAAGATGACATGATGGCAAAATGTGACTGCAACATTAGCCTTTTTAATTGGATAAAAACCTAAACACCGTGATGCTTGCCTCTGATAAAACTTACAAGGAGGAGGTGCAGCGCTCCAGTTATTATTCACCTCACAATGAAGGGATGTTTAAATGTCCATTTATATTAATAACATCTTTTTTAACCATCCAGAGGCTTTACAAACTTGTGTCAGACTGGCCCCGAGTTCTCTCTTAACCTACTGTCAGCACTACGTGAGATGAAGTGAGAACGACTGGCACTGACTTCCCTAATGGACGAGCATTCCGCTGCTCTCCAATCAGGAAACATCTGGGCACATGAAGGAAGCAGGAACGGACAAAGCCTTGAATGTCTTACGTTTTTTACTGTCAGCCTTGCATGTGAACATATCACCTTTGAAGGACTATTGTAGATCATGTTCACTCTGTCATAACTGAACAGGTAATGACACCACCACCTACTCACATGTAATTAGAACCATTTTTTTGGCCATTTGTATGAATAATATATGAGAGGAGAAAAGCAAAGTATTGTTGTGGTTACAGGATAAGAGGTGATGTAGATGTGTACAGTACTTTTGTGTCCTAAAAGGGGAAATGAGGCCATTGCTGTGTCAGTGTTATTATAAACAGCCACAAGGACTTCAGCAACCCTTTTCTTTTGTTAACATCTTCCCTGACCTCATGTTTTCCAGTGAGCCCTGCCTCTACAGGGTCTGCTGTAACAGAGCACTTCATCCACAACTCACACTGATGACTTCAACAAGAAACAGGCCAAATCCAACAGCCCATTGACTTTAAACAATATCCCACAATGTACAGTTTTTCTTCTGTAGACTGTTTGTTTAATAAATTACAGTAAAACAAGAGGAAACAACATGCTATTTGTGTGGCGCTCAAAAGCACGTCGCTTCCATAACCCGTTTTCCACCTCTATGTAACTCTGCTCCAAATTTATAATATAATAAACTGTTTAAGTTTGGTGACTGGCGATGACTTCACTTCCTAAACTCCAAGAGAATCATCAACTCCACAGCTGGCTATAAAGGAGACCCCACTGCGTCACAACACAACAAATGTTTTCCTACAGTCTCAAGAAGTTGGGAAAAATAGCATAATTTTCAACAACACTCAATATATCCAAAATTATTTTAAGGTTGAAAATTATACTTTTGTTTCATATAACTTCCATTTACTGAAATAAAAACAACCTGATTTTTACCTAAAGCTAGCTATTGGTTATTTAATTATAGCTTCTTTACCTGTTGGACAGATTTCTCTCCGTTCAGTTTCACCCTGGTTTGTCCCTGCATGGGCTGAAATTCATCACTGCTGTCTTGTCTGAGCAAAACCTAAAATAGTAAGAAAAAAAAAATAAGCAGCCGGTAGTACTGAAAATAAGCCATAACTGAGGAGAACATGCTGGACAGGAGACGAAAATAAAAAAAAAAAAAAACATTTTCAACATTTACACATTTTAAAACAAATATCTTAATCAATTTTTGGTAAGAAATACAAGATCTGACATTCAGCTGGGATACATTTGTCAAACAATGTGTCCAAAAGATATTATTTTATAACCAATAACACAAAACCCACCACCTTCTTAGGTTGATGTGGCCTATACTGCTAAATTCTTTGCACTGTACGTGGAAAAAACTGTACAAAATATCTACTTTCCATGCTGAGTTTGAGGTTCATTTCTTTGCTTGGAGATAAATTACCCATATTTCTGTTAAATCAGTTAAAAGAAAAGGATTTATCACACACCTAATACATTTTACACATATCTTTGAAACCATTTATAAACAATCAAATCAAATTGTTGTCTTAATTAAAAGTAAAATATAGTTTTTATTTTTATCTTTATTCCAATAAATGACTGTTAATTAACTGCAATATTAAAAGAAATCACACCTCTTTGTGATATTTATTATATCCTTGGTTATTAGATATACATTTGCATAAGTAATGTGTGTCCTGTACCTTGAAGTGAGAACTGGGCTTATTCTCACAGCTCACACCCACAATCCTGGGCAGATGTGGATCTGATGTGTTGGTGGTGATGTTGTTGTTGTTATTGTTGTTTTCAGACGTGGACCCTACAATTGAAAGGTGCACTGGTCCCGCTGACACCTTGTTCTCTGATCTGTCTTTACTCCCAGAGATTGTAATCTTCTTGATGGATCTGGAGACAGTAGATGGAGAGGCAACGTTCTGGTTCAGTTGGTCCTCAGCTGCCATGTCCTCCTGTTTGTGTTTCACGAGGGCTACCTGCTTGACGATGGGTGAGACGAGACAGGGGCCATGTGCACAGACCTGGGATCGACTGAGGTAGAGCGAGTTCAGGTTGTGCTGTAGAGTGCAGTTATCCAGACTCCGGCTCTGCAGATAACTCTGTGTAAACTCCTGGCATTTTGGCACAGCTGGGACTGACAGCCTCGTCCCGATGGTGAAGGGCTGGACTTTCCTCACAATGCTTTCAGACATTGCCGGTGTCCAGTTAAGAAAACTAAATATGCCGAAGTCCAAATGGGCATTGAAAAAAGTCTGTCACATTCCTTTGTACACTCTCCTCACTCACCAGTTCTGTTTGTCCAGTTTCTGTTCAGCGGGCAAGTGGAGGGTTGAACAGAAAGTGGAGGGAGAGCTCAGTTCTCCACCTTCTTGTGCATGTTGAGAATGCACAGCACACAGCCCAGGATGGCTTCCTTGGACTCCTGGGATCGAATGCGGTCCCAGACGTGGCGTAGCGCCGTGCCAAGGTGGGTAGCACCCGTAGAGAGGCTTCTCCTGAGGAACTGTGCCACTGAGCCCGCCAGTCTGCTACTGAGGAGCCTGATAACCAGGGACCGCAGCAAGATGAAGACTGCTGGCATGCTGCCTGAGAGTGCTGTGAAAAAAAAACTAAAAAAATAGAAAGCTCAAAAAAGGAGGGGAACAGAGGAGGGTTGGTTAAGAGAGGAGATGAAGTCACCACCTCTCCGCTCTCTTCCTCCCTCTCTCTCTCTTTCTCCGTCAGGAGCGACAGAGCAGAGAGGGGGCTGTAAAGCCTGGCTGTCAAAACTTCCCCTCTGAACCCGAACAGAAAATCTGCCCAGATAAGAGGCGAGGAGTAATGGAGTCAGAGGGAGAGACCTCTGTCAGACCTCTTCAATCACAGCTTATCCTCTATGAGGTAATATCCTCAGCCGAAACAAACAACTCACACACACACCCACACTGCCTCTACCTTACCTCCACCTTAAAGTGCAGAGGAACAGATTCAGCCCTGAGGTGTTCTGCTTTGTTCCAGCACGGAAATTGCAAGACAAAAAAAAAAGTCTTTCACAGACAGCAGGTTTAAAATAAAAATCCAGGGTAAAGTCTGTGGTGAGAGAATAAGCTTCAGAGGCTCGTGCGAGCGCTGTCTGTCCAGGCTTAGAGTGCTTTCCTCAGATCTGAGCCTCCTCTTTCCCCATCAGTGAGGAGCAGTTGTGAACAGAATGGAACAGCCCTGTCGCTATGCTCCTTAAACCTCACAGCTGCTGGCATGACAAGTGTATGATGGGGTGGGGGGCAAATAACAGTCAAGCAGATGATGACCCCTACCACTCCTTGGTGGTGGCTAGGGTTCAACAGAGCACATGTTGGGCTGAGTGATTGGAATGGTAGGGGTGGCGTGCGGATGTCAGGGGAGTAGGGATTACTGAGGGGAGCAGACAGCAGAGAAAATATTTGCAGGGAGCAGATGGGAGAATCTGCTTCCACTGGTGAAAGCTTTTCCAAAAAAGGAACTCTCACTCTTCACACTTCTGCCCTCTGACTTGACCCCAGCACCTGGTCCAAAGGCTCTGAGGCATTTCAGCCGCTTTCAACAAAACCCAGTCAATGTAATGAAGTTGAGGTTATTGCATGCCTCATTTTACAACACAGTGCTTTTGGAATTTGTGTTCACGAAATATGAACCCATGCAGTCAATATACATTACATTCATGTGTGCTAATGTGTTACTGTACAAACAGCAAAGAGTGGGACAACAGTCCCTACGCAGGGCTCTTTCTGACAGAGGTAGTCCCGGAGTCGACATGGTTAATGATGCTTTTAAAAGAGCTCTGGTTTCGTGATGAAGTCATCTAAGGAAGAGATTTAATGTGTTGCAGCTTGAAATCAGAGATAAATTCTGCGCAGGCTGGGTGGTGCTGACGGAAAGCTGGATGGGTGGAGTTCAAGAGGTTTGGCTAACTTTAAAATGCCATTTCCTCCTATTGCAGGGTGAATGTGCGATTAAAGTGTACAGTGGGTATACTGTGTGACAATGACACCACCATATGACGAAGTGCTGGTTGTGTTCAATTTTGGAACATTTGGAAATGTGGGTTATTTTCGACACACCTTTTTGCAAGTCATGGTGTGTTAAGGCAAACCCGCTCGCTGAGAGGGGTTAGTGAAAATGTGCAATCCACAGCTTAGCCTGGAATACAACTTTAAGAACATTTAAAATGCCCATAACAGATTTAAAATCAAATAAACCTTTCTAATCTTGTATAATATTTACACCAACACTTTAAGGTATACATCAAATGGATTATAGGTCTGCACTGTTTATTCAGCAGTCTCACCATTTAGTCTTTATTGTTACACAAACATAACACACCACACCACACAGTATGTCTTCAAGCTACTAAACAATCAGTTTGTTGTACTTTTCTTATATTAACCTCTGTGATGTAATGAATGAACTACAAATGAAAATGAGCTTTCCGGCTGGCATATTTACGCTAAAATGTTTATTAATGTGCCTTGTGCCTCATAGATAGATAGATAGATTTTTAGCAAAATGTATGAAAACTAAAAGCTTTAAACTGAAGTTCAGCTCTGTGTGTATAGCCCCTGTTTTCCACTTAGCCTGTAAACATTTATAAAGGATGGAAAGTTGTTTGCTCACAGAATCACTGTCAGGTTAGATTTGAACCAGGTGTCCCACCTCTGCCAACCAAGTCAGATTAAGCTACTGTAACACCTTCCTTATGTTGTTTACCCTGGAATTCCTCCCTCCGTCCTCACAGCTCTCGTTCACTTTTTGTCCACAACCTTTAACTGTTCTGCCCACATCCTTTACAAATAATTTAAACCTCAGCCTTGATCTGAAAGCTCTTTATGTGTGCCATCTTCCTTTGTGTGCATCTTTGACGACGGCTGTTAAAGACAAGCTGGTTCTGGCCTGATGGCTGATATCATTGCCTCCCAAGCTGATAATAAAATCCTGATGCTTTCTTACCACAGGCCTGGTTTGTGATCACCCTTGTTAGATGTCTTCCATTTTATTAGAGTCAGTAAATACGGCTTGGAAGACTTGTTCAAGGGGTGATGTCACCGGGGCTGCCCGCATGAAAGGAGAGTGATAGCTGTGGCGGAGGAGAGAATATGCATTGGAGCTAGAGGGGGTCTGTACTTTTCCACTTGGTGTATGTCATCACAAAGGCATGATCGGCCTGCTGGTCAAGTTTCAGTACCGATAAGATAGAGTTCTTCTTGCTCTGGATCATGATCAAAAAAGAAAAGATGTGTTCTTTTCAAAAATGGTTGATATCAAAGGAATAGAAAAATGAAAATACTTACTTCACATCTGTTAAGTCAGACATGCTTGGCCTGAGCTTTTTAGTTACTGGACACTGGACAAAACATTCTCAATCAATTGAATTTTTACTCAAACTTAACTCTTAAGTCATTCAAATCAAGTCGTTGTTTATTAGTTTTATAGTTATGGCTAAAACTGTATTGTTTAATGTAGGATGCCAGGCCTGGATCAACACCAAAATGTAATAATTTGCCCCATGGCCCCAAACCCTGTTAAGTTTTTTTTCAAGCAGGACAGACAAACAAAAAAGTTGTAAACATAAAGTCTGGCAAAATTTAAAAGCAACATAAGCATATTTATACCAGTTCAGCTACTTTTTACTTTGTTTAAATAGAAACAAACACATTGACTAAAAAGAAAGTTGAGAATGACCATGAAACACAAACAGCTAGGCAGCAGGGGCATAGTGCCAATGAAATTGTGAAGTCATACATTTGTATAAATACTTATCTGTTGATCTAAATAGCTTTAAATTCCTTTGTTCTTAGCGCACAAGTCTGAACACACATCTTGACAATGACCTAGCCTCTCTCAGATGGGTCGCCTGTGGGCTTTTGTACTTCAGCGACTGAAGCTAATACACAGTATGAACAATGAAATGATTTGTGCTTGAAGAGAACAACATGACAGCTGCAGTTTATGGACAAAGGGAAATATAAACACATTACGAAAGCCACATTTTCAGCATTTACTACATGATGTCCACATGGGTTTCCTACACCAAATCTATTCAGCCGGAGTATAGAACGGGTTGCAACATAGTTTATGGCATGACTTCAATCAAATCCTCTTAAAAACAAAAAAGCCTTCAAACTTGTCAACTAAATTAATCACTGATTTAATGCAGAGATAGTTGTGACGCCTAGTTTTGACGGTCACCTGAGGCTATATTTGACCTAATGAGACTGCATGCTTATCAGCTGATGTTCACACACACCTGTGGTACTTCATCCTGGGAGTCCGGTTTCACATGTTTCTGCTGAACATGTCCACTCTCATCACAACCTTCAAGAAGCAAGGAAGCTCGAGCGTTGGATGACATCATATGCAATAGCTTGCCATCTTAGTCAGACAGTACTCATTGTATACAGAGACAGAGTGCAGAATTTGTCACAGAAAGAGGCAAGCCGAGACAATGAAACTCAACCGTCTGCCATGACGCACACATTTTTTAATCTATTAAACTGTAGCTGCATTGTTTAAAAAAACAGTGACCCAATGTTAAATATACTCCTCCTTCTTAAATATCTTGGAATGTTATAGGTCACATGTATAGGTGGTTATCATGTAGAGTGGCTTGTTTAAAGGTAACAACAGCAGCAGGGTGGGATCATGAGTAGAAACAGTGTCTAGAACCCCGCGTCAGTAAGTATATTAAAATATAAAGGCAGGAGTCAGACCTGGCTTTAAGACAAGAGGGCCTTTGTTTTGACTCAGACCTCCTAAATGGGTTTCTTGTCCTACCATAACAATTGGCAATGACATTAGAAAAATATGTGAGGCAGTGTAGTTGGGGAAAATGATTGATTTTGGATAGGATATGAATCTTAAAGATCAAAAGTGGCTTTCACTGGCTCTTAAAAAAGCAGATAATTCAAAGTCAACATTCGGGCTTGTTAAGCAAGTCGGTGAACAGGTCAGCAAGGCAATTTGTAGATGATCAAATGTATCCAGTTCGCAGTTAGTTTGAGTTTCAACTTCTAGACAGGAGGCCAGTTGGTGACAGATTGGCATCCATGGGATCATTTGTTCTCAGCAAGTATAAGGGTCACTGGGAATGAATAGATTTTTTTTGGCCGTACTTGGAAAGGTTTGGAATTGAAAGATTACATTTAATTTTTAGCCATGTTAGCAGCATGTCACTATGAATGCCAATGTCTGTTCGTTTGCCAGTCAGGACTGAAAAAGCTCAATAACTATTGGATGGATTACAGTGAAATGTGGTACAGAAATTCATGGTTCCCACCGGATGAATACTATCAATTTGGTGATTCCCCGACTTTTCCTCTAGAACCACCATAA